CTCAGAATGACAGTATTAAGCTGAGTAGCTTCAGCATTATCAATGGAATTATTTCTTGATGGGCTTTCCTTGGGGAACGGTGTAAATGTTAAACAGCAAAGAGGAGGGGAACATGGACCGTTGCCTATAGGAACCCAAACTGGGCCAGCTTTCCAGGATACCCTTTCGTCCAGATAACTTGCTTCCATTGTATATTTATCAAAGCAGGTTGAGGACATGGATCTAGAATTGGGACCAGAGGTGTGTTTCAGCAGGTTCTGGAGAACTGGTAGCAGAAATTTTGAGTAGTTTGGAGAACCAGTAAATACCACCTCTGACTGGCCCCGCCCCCATCTATTCTCTGCCTCCTGAGTCCCAGCTGATTGGGAGGAAATGGGGATTTTGCAGTAACCTTCCCCTGAAGTGGGGTGGAAATGGAGATTTTACAGTATCCTTTCCCTGCCACGCCCACCAAGCCATGCCACACCCAAGCCACGCCCACAGAACCAGTAGTAAAAAAATTTGAATCCCACCATCGATTAGGACTGCTGGAGCCAGAAGTGGATACGGGCAGTAGACTGTTGCTTTAACTTTCCCTCGTAATGGCAACCAGGGTGTCTCCCCAATGGGGATTTGATAGAGAACCGAACATTTTGTACTGATTCTAAACTATGAACAGACAGACAGAGAGGATTATAAATTCCTTTGAGAAGCACTGGCTGCACCTTTACATTGTTAACAAGAATTTATGGAGACGTTCACTCAAAAATAGTTTATTTCTTTCCTCCATACAAAATACCATCATGTACGAAAATGCACACATATAGTTTTGTCAATCAGTTAGCCTTTTTAAAAAGTTGCAGTGAATTAAATGTATTTTTATGCTGTGATGTAAACATAGAACTGTGTCCATTAAGTCTCCCCAGGGGCATAAAGTGAATGATCATTCAGAGGGGGAAAAAATGTAATGTTATATCTGAAAACACAGATGACTTTTGACAAAGGGATTTTCTACAACTGTATAGGTTGGTTAAAAATGATTGGCTTTTAACTTTTCTACGGTAATCAAGGCAGTCTGTATATCTAAAATAAAAAGGCACGCACACTATGGAATCTCTTTGGTACACGGTTCGTCAAAACTTACTGGGAACTGCAGAATAATGCTGTTCTCAACAGTCTCTATACAGAATATCTTCAGGAATCTGCTCTAAGTAAAATTAGATCTTTCAATATACATTGATGTAGACTCATGAGGAAGGATCAAAGCATGCATGCATGCTTACAGATCGTTGAGCAGACAAAAAAAAAAAAAAGACAAATTTGAAAATATTTTTCAGTCACTGTTGAACACCTAAGCCAGAGGTCGGCAACCTTAAACACACAGAGCCACAAAGGTCCTAACCGGAAGCTCCCCGTTCAATTCTGCAGCTGACTGGAAGTCCGGTTCCCCCACCATACAGTCTCCTTCTAGCACAGCATCCTTTTTCCTCTACCTGTCCTAACTGAAAGCCCTATCAGTTGTGGAGATGACCGGAAAACCCGCCCCTTGCCATAGATTCTCTTCCTGGTACGCCGTGCTTTTTCTCCCCATAACTGGAAGCTCCTCTCAAAATTGTGGCGGCGACTGGGAGCCGCAGCAGAGGGATGAAAGAGCCACATGCGGCTCCAGAGCCGCAGGTTGCTGATTCTTGATCTAAGCAATACTATAGTATTGTTTCAGAGAATGGAAAAGAACTTCTTACAAGAAAAAACATTGAATGTATTTCAGTGGGTGAAACAAAATTGATATTGTATATGGTGACAGCAGCTAGGTTACTGATTGGTCAATACTGGAAAAGGGATGATATGCCTACGATTCAAGAACGGACTTTGAAGATGGCCAGTTTTGCAGAAATGGCGAAGATATCAGCATACTTAAAAGACCAGAGTCAAGAGACTTATGTATGGGAGTGGAAGAAATGGATAGATTATGTGCAGAATAAATACCAAACTAGGAAGTATCAAATAGCTTTTAGCTAAATGTTGTGTAGAAATGTATAGTTTATAGGGGGGGAAATAGCTTATTGCTATGTAGAAATGTATAGTGCACAGGGGGGAGAATAGAGGGGTGGTAAAGTATGATATAATATAATGTGGATGGATTTCACCTTGGGGAAGTTATGGGGAGGGAGGGTTTGGGGGGGGTTAGGGAGGGATGGGGGGGGAAATGGGGAAAAATTGATGTTTGTAAAACTTTCAATAAAAAAAAAAAAGAAAAAACATTGAATGCATCACTTTATACTGACGTTTTCAGGTTAATGAACCTTTCCTGTATGAGTTTCTTTGCCCTGGCAAAATTTTACAACCTGATAACTACTAGTAAGAATACTTGGGAAGCATTGGCTCGGAGTATCTTCTATTGTGTTTTAAAAGGGTATTATGGTGTGCTTTAAAAAATATTTTGTGGCCCTTCAGAAAAGAAGCAGAAACATAATTTGATCAGAATTTGATTAAAAAAGAAAGACAGCATTATATTTACAGAATTAACATAGAAAGGGCGATAGAGTTCCAATAAGGTCCCAGGTTTCCTTATTCTGCAGGATAGTGCCAGGAAGGAAAAGTAGGAATGAAAAAAAAAAGTGTTTAGCTGCCTGGATACATTCTGGAAACGGTAATTTGGACTTACATACACGCTTCTGTTCATTTAAAAGCTTAAAAATAGGCAGGGCGTCTGATAACTGTGCTTTCAAAAAGCACAATTTTAAAATAGGTAGTCCTTGACTTACGACCACAGTTGAGCCCAACATTTCTGTTCCTAAGGGAGACAGCTGTTAAGTGAGTTTCGTACCATTTTTTTGACCTTTCTTGCCACCGTTGTTAATTGAAACACTGCAGTTGTTAAATTAGTGTTAAGTGAATTTGGCTTCTCCATTGCTTGTCAGAAGGTCGCAAAAGGTGGTCACAGGGACACTGTCATAAATATGAGTCGATTGCCAAGTGCTTGGATTTTGATCACGTGACCAAGAGAATATTGCAATGGTCGTTAATTGTGAAAAAAGTCACTTTTTTTAATGCCGTTGTCACTTCGAACGGTCACTAAATGGACTGTTGTAAGTTGAGGACTACCTGTAGTTATTTCTTAGCCTCTGTTGCTTGGCTAAACATGCAATCATCAACGTGTTTCTATAACCACAAAAATAGTTCCATGAATCAGAAATCTCAACAAAGCAGGCAACAAAGTGACTGGATAAAAGTTAGCCTTGACAGCTTTTATATGTCTGCATGACAGACATAAACATGAAATAGCTGAGAAATTATCCTTGGGCTTCTAAAGCAGAGGTCTCCAATCTTGGCAACTTTAAGACTTGTGGACTTCAACTCCCAGAATTCCTCAGCCAGCAAACCTTTGCTGGCTGAGGAATTCTGGGAGTTGAAGTCCACATGTCTTAAAGTTGCCAAGGTTGGAGACGCGTGTTCTAAAGAGTATGCATCTTCCTACATAGGATAAAGGTAAAGGTTCCCCTCGCACATATGTGCTAGTCGTTCCCGACTTTAGGAGGCGGTGCTCATCTCCGTTTCAAAGCCGAAGAGCCAGCGCTGTCTGAAGACGTCTCCATGGTCATGTGGCTGGCATGACTAAACGCCAAAGGTGCACGGATTGCTGTTACCTTCCCACCAAATGTGGTCCCTATTTTTTCTACTTGCATTTTTACGTGCTTTCGAACTGCTAGGTTGGCAGAAGCTGGGACAAGTAACGGGAACTCACCCCATTACGTGGCACTAGGGATTCGAACCGCTGAACTGCCGACCTTTCGATCGACAAGCTCAGCGTTTTAGCCAATGAGCCACTGCGTCCCATAGGATAGGATAGGATTATTAATTTCTGTTGCGATAATTTTTCTTGCTTTATAATTGGTGGAGAGAAACTTGATTCAGATCCCAATGCCACCCTTCACCACCAAAGAGTTGACCAATGGAATCCTGAGATCTGTGTCTTTTCCTATCCGAAGGCTCTTTACAAGATCACCGTTCTCAACTATGTACAGTAGTCCTACTAGCATCCATCGGTGTTCATCTTGCTAGCGTCCTTGCAGCAAACAGTCTGCAAGTGATAACAGTGATAACAGCTTCAGCACGTTATCACAGCCTGATTTAGCACGAACAGCTGATTGGTGGTTGGACTGGCCTCCCGGAATACCTCCAATCAGCTGTTCCAGGCTGCGGGGAATCACCAGAGCCCTTCGCCGCCTCCGCACATTGCGATTTTGCCCTCCGTGCATCACATTTTTGGTCTTCGCAGGCTCTGTTTTAGACCTGTTCCAGGTTGCGGGGATCGCCACAGCACATTGCCGCCAATCGCCACCTCCATGTGTCATGTTTTCACCCTCCGCAAGTCTTTTTTGGCCTCCACGTGTTGCATTTTCGGCCGGTTCCCCATCGCCTGGTACCGGCCAAAAATGCAATGCACAGAGGCCAAAAACGGGGCATGCAGGGACTAGAAATGTGGTGTGCTGAGGCAAAAAATGGCCAAAGGGTGGGGCCCAGCAGATGGGCGGAGCTTTTTTTTTTTTTTTAATTTGATTTATATGCCGCCCTTCTCCGGAGACTCAGGGCGGCTTACAATGTGCTCGGCAACGTTTGGTGTATAAGACGCACCATAGTTTTCATCCACTTTTGGGGGGGTGGGGGGAGGAAAGTGCATCTTATACTCCAAAAAGTATGGTATAGAATGCCAGCATTTTGTCCACTCCTTCCGCCCAGTAGTAGCAAGAGGAAGGGGGAAGGTAGTATGAGAATCTCAAAACATGCCAAAAATTCTTGCTGCGGATTGGCTCATTGCATGCATATAAATGGCAAATTGATTTATATTCTGATGGTAAAATGGTAGGCTGCCTCTTGCCAACTTATCAGAAAGTCCAGCTGCCACCTAATTCAGATAAACTTTGCCACTTGAGCTTTTAATTACAGACAAATTTGGCTACGGACACAAGCACATCATAAACAAATTAAACCTCAAAGCTTAACAATGATTAGAAGACATGCTGGTTGCTTCATGTTTATTTTTGTGTGAAAAAAACATGTGACTTAATTGTTCACTCAAGAGTAAGCACATCAGCAAATTACAAGTTTTTCTTTCAATTCTGGGAATAATTTCTATCTGCAAAAGTTTCATTATCAATCTTCGTTTTAAAATGGAGGCTTGCATATCGTTTTAGCATCTTGAGATGCATAATTATTCAAAAGAGAAGGAACAGATACCTCAATATCATTTTTACTTATACTGATATCACTTGATAAATTTCCGACTAAAATCTTAATCTAGACTCTGAAAATAATAATTAAAAAATCTCTGTTTTCCTCTTTCTTTTCACACAAACAGTAATTTTGGAAGAGAAAGGTCATGTTAAAAATAAAAGTATGAAAATAATTACCCGTTAATTCTCTTTAATACTTAGCTGATAGCACACCTCAGTGAATTCATGGAATATTTGGGATTAATATATAGTATTATTCTGAGCAGCGTGGTGGCCTAGTGGTAAAGACGCTTGCCTCCCACTTGGAAGGTTAAGAGTTCAATCCTGCGGAGTGGCAGGTATTTCTTTCCAAGGGCGCAAAGCAAAAATAACTGCTGTGAACTTTGCATGGTGTCAGGAAGGGCATCCGGCCAGTAAGTGCTCAGCTTCATCCAGTCACCCAAACTCTACCCTGAATTAAAGGATTATAGGGTTGTAAAAAGGAAATTTTATATAGAGTTATGCTAAAGGACTTATTATTAGAGTACAAAGAGTTTCCTTTTATTCTTCATTTGACAGTGTATGTGCTTTCACAAGCAGCTTATTATGTGCCACAACGGACTAATTGTTGAGAAAAAACAAGTCTAAAGCTACTTTAAGCCTAGAGAATTAGATTTTAGAGTCTTTAGTTATATTGCATTCATTTGGGTCCAACATTTCAATTATTTTGGTTGTTTGGTTAAGCATTCAATTAATAGTTTTGCATTTGATAATTATATTTTTAACTCAATTGATTTTCAAGGTGGAAATCATTTCTATTAAATGCTGATATTATTAATTGTATCAAACACACATATAAGGATTTCCTAATGCTGGTGCTTCGAAAGGTATACATCTATTACAATAAATACACTTTCCAATTAGCTGCCTATTTGTCTAGGCAAATTTTAAGGTTTTTAAGACATATTTTTCCTTCCTTTAAAAATGGCATACCAGAAAAGTCAGGTAGATGAAATGTTTTTTTCCTTTATTTAGGTATAGATTTGGTTATTTGTTTTTTTTTAAAAAAATTGTTTTCCATTTTCTAAAAAAATATATGTTTCTTTCTAAAGTGCATTGTTCTACTATCTACCGTTTTGCTCAAGAGATTTGAAAGTCTACACCAACGTCAAAGCCATACAGAGCTTCAACGAAACACGAACAGAAAAAAAAAATTGCTCGAGATTAGTACCGGATCCAGTACCTTATCTGGGGTACAAAAATTATAAGGGTATGAGACAAACTGTCATTGTCATTAATTTCATTTTAAAAGTCCACTGTCTATAGACATTTTGATGCTTTCTAAGCATAGGGACCCCCTTTTGCATTAAATCGGTTTGCTGAAAAATCTTAGCGCATTTGCCACAGTAATATGCAGGAGAAAATCCTCAGAAATATTGCAGGGCACCAATAAACTGGATTCCATTACGATCTGACACAAATCAAGAGCAGATTGTGGAAACGCCATTATTGCAGAAGCAAACTCAAATGATAAAACTTCTGCCTTTCGAGGACGCTTATCCATTATTCCCGTTCTTCGCATCAAGGACAAAGATAAAATATTATAAACCCTTCCCAGACATTGTCTGAAACCCACAATTATATCAGAATACCTTGGCTACCAAGATCATCCCATTCCTTTTCCTACTTCTTGCGGAGGATCCCGTTAACTAAGCCCAATTTCTCCCAAGGTCCACTTCCACAATGTTTTCTTTCTTCCAGGTCGAACAGATGTAGGAGTTGTGTAATAACATTTCTGAAAAAGCTCATTTAGTAAGAAAGTGTGTTTTCGTTTTTTTTAAAAAAGCAGCCATATTGAAAGCCAAGGCAGTCCACGCTTAAGAGTTCTCCACCAACTGGCAGTTCCACTTTCAGTTCAAGCATGTGACAAGAACTACGTACCAACAAATAACAACGAAAACCCTGCGGTCAAAGACGAGATTTCAAGAGGGGACCTACCAACCCTCTCCAAATTGTCTCAGAACATACATCCTATTATTAGAACAGACCCGATTGCTTTATTGGTCTGAAAATTACAGGCCATTATTTGGAGATTCGTGAGGACTTTTAACTAGATCACCTTTCTTACACTGATGCTTTAAAATTGAGGTCTTTTTTTTTTTTTGCTTTAGTCCAAGCAATTGCAGGCCACCAACGATGAAAGCGAAAAAGGAAACTTGTGGAACAGAGTCGTTTCAGTGGGTCAACATCCTTCCGGTTTTGCCAGCCCAGATGGCAGAACAGGTCACAAGTATGAAGAAAGATGCAGGGCCCTCCCTCCTCCTTCACACCGGGCCTCCATCTTCTGCCAACGACAGTCAGGGAGAGCCACTAAAGCCCTCCGTGGTATTAGGCGCTTGCTGAGTTCTTTGTGTTATTTGGCTGCATCGACATCTTAACATTAGTGGCAAATCCAGCGTAGCTTTATTACATGATCTTGGAACTTAAATCTCTTTTGCTGATGAGGACTTCTAGCAGCCTCAGCTTGGCCTTAACTTGCTTGTATTCATTATATTCTTCGGCCATGGGAACCCGGTCTTCTTTCTGGACGTTTCTAAAAAGCACAACCAGATGAAACATATCAGCTTCCTGTATCTAGGATCCCTGTCCTTAAAAGAATAGTTTACACCTTTTGGAATTAAGAGAAAAACAGAAGACTAAATTTAGCATAGCCTAGTTGGGGAAGGGAGAAAATGCTTTAGGGAATTTAAAAAAAAAAGAAAAAGAAAATTCATGTGTGTATATCCAATCTCTTAGTGAAAGGAAGTACAGGTAGTCCTTGAATTACAACCATTTGTTTAGTGACTGTTCAAAATTACAATGCAATGCCGCTGAAAAAAGTGACTTAAACCATTTTTCACACTTATGACCAGAGGTGAGTTCCCTCTGGTCCCTGGAGAACTGGTAGTGGAAATTTTGAGTAGTTCGGAGAACCGGTAGTAAAAATTTTGACTGGCCCTGCCCCCATCTATTCTCTGTGTCCCAAGTCCCAGCTGATCGGGAGGAAATGGGGATTTTGCAGTAACCTTCCCCTGGAGTGGAGTGGGAATGGAGATTTTACAGTATCCTTCCCCTGCCACGCCCATCAAGCCACACCCACAGAATCGGTAGTAAAAAATTCTGAAACCCACCACTGCTTATGACCATTGGCAACGTCCCCATAGTCCAGGGGTGGGCAACTGTGGCCCTTTTACAACCTGTGGACTTCAACTCCCAGAAGCCAAGCTGTCTCAGGAATTCTGGGAGTTGAAGTCCACAGGTTGTAAAAGGGCCAGAGTTGCCCACCCCTGCCATAGTCACATGATCGAAGTGTGGATACTTGGCAACTGGTTCAAATTTATGACGGCTGTCGTGGCATGGGGTTACGGGACCATCTTTTGCGACCTTCTGACAAGCAAAATCAACGGGGAGGCCAGATCCACTTAACAATGGTGTTACTAATTTAACAACTGCAGGGATTCGCTTAACAGCTGTGGCAAGAAAGATTGTAAAATGGGAGGGAAAACTCATTTAATTTAATTATTAAATGGATAACAGAAAGGTTGGGCTCAATTGTGGTTATAAGTTAAGGACTTATCTGTAGATCTTCTAGATCAGTGTTTCTCAACCTTGGAAGCTTGAAGATGGGTGGACTTCAACTCCCAGAATCCCCCAGCCAGCAGAGCTGGCTGGGGGATTCTGGGAGTTGAAGTCCACCCATCTTCAAGCTTCCAAGGTTGAGAAACACTGTTCTAGATATTAATATTCTCTACTGCAGGGGTGTCAAACTCAAGGCCCGTGGGGCTGGATCCGGCCCGTGGGGTGCTTAGATATGGTCCGCGAGGCCACCCTGGAAACAGCGAAGGACCGATCTGCGGTGCCTCTGCCAGCGAAAACAGAGCTTGGGAGGGCTACACGTAGGGTCCTCCCGAGCTCTGTTTTTGCTGGCAGAGGGTTGCAGGAGGCCATCGCAGCCGCAAATGGAGCTCAGGAGCCCCTTTTCTCTGGCAGAGCGCTCAGGCCACCACAGGTACCCCAACACGAGTGACGTTGAGCTGGCGACGCTCACCTTGGCCACATCCCCCCCACCCCCGAGATCAAACATAACCCTGATGTGGCCCTCCATGAAATCAAGTTGGACACCCCTGCTCTACTGCGTTCACAGAAAGACGGTTATCACAATCGCTATAAAAACTAGCAACAAGCAGAGCAGGAAATGAAGGTAGACAAGACACATTTTCCCCCAAACATTTGTTGGTTTGCCAGCTAGTGCATAAAACATTGCTGACTCTTTAAGAAAAAAATAGTTCCCCATACAGCAATTCTGAGACGCATATGCTCTTAAGGGAAGCGCTTATATTTTAAGCCTGTTACATACTTTGTTAAAATCTTCCGATATGACCGGTGGAATGCATTAGTCCAAGACAGAACTTGGTTGGTTAGCTTTAAAAGGGGATTGAACAATTCATGGAGGAAAACTCTACTGAAGGCAATGAAAATTCAATGCCACCTCTTGCTTGGGGGCAGTGCAACTCTAAATGCCAACTGTAGGGAAAACATGGCAGGGGGAGGAGGAGTGTCTTTCTCTCCCTCCTGTTTCTGAGCACCCCAGAGGCCTTTGGTTAGCCAATGTGAATCAAAATCCTTTACTTTAGAAGGATGGCAGAGAAAAAACAAAACAAAACAAAGATTAGAATTCTCCAACCTTTTTGGCTTTGCAGACTGGATTTTGGGGAGGGGGGAGAAGGGAATGGTTCTGTTCTGACCTAGACGTTCCCAAAACATGAAGACAGTCCTTGTCCCGACAAAAAACCCTTTTTATTAAATTACTGTGAATTCCTCTCATTCACACCCAGCAAAGTCTTTCAAGGGAGAATTTACAGTCCCAGACCTTATCTGGCTTGGAGAGCTGCCAGGCCGATATCTTCAAAACTTGGCAAGGAGTCACGAACCAATTAAGTGAACTAATTGCCTCCTGCATACTCCACTCCCCTTTCGCTCCTCTTTATTTCCTATGGAGGGGCCATTCACCGTCCACCTGTGGCTTTACTTCTGAGTCGACCTTTGTTCCTTAGCTGTTCCCTTCTCCTGGCAGCTCTGTGCATGTGCACACTGGGAACAGGCTCCAGCTGTTCTTCTGCCCTACTGATGTCCGACTCTGAAGGCAGCTGACTGGCCTCACTATCTCTGACGCAGAGCACTCATCAGAGCCTTCCCCAGACTCCAGGACTGGCCCATGTTCCTCCCCAATCTCCTCACTGTCTGAGTCTGCCACCAGCTCCGCTGGCTGGCCACAACAGCTTCCACGTGAGTGGCGGGCGGGCGTGTGTGCAGCTCCACTTGTGTGAGTGGCGGGTACACCTGCCACTTGTGCAAATGGAGCGGGCATGTACATGCTTGCCTGCCGCTCGTGCAAGTGGGGATACACACGTACATATGCTCGCCCACCACGTCCACAGTTGGGACTCCTGGATTAGTAACCAGGATCTTCGCAAGAAGTCAAAAAGAATATAACATTAATTAGTCCAGATTGGAGTAAAAAAACAGAGGTTGGCAAGTTACCTTCCGTTTTGTCGGAAAAAATTGTCTTCAAAATCTCTCAATTTTTTTCTGATCCTCTTTTTATCTTCCCTGGCTTCTTGAAGCTGTTCCACAAGTTCACGCCTACAAAATGAAAGAAAAACAAGCAGCCCGATATTAAAAAGAGACAAAAGGCCAACAAGCATGAAAACAAGCCGGAAAAAGATACATTTCTCCCAAGAGTTGTGTGTATTTGTCAGAAAACAAGAAAGCGTCTGGCGTACTCTTTAAGCAATAAAATTTCTACTCCTCCAGAGTGAGAACATAGCAAAGGGCTTTATAGTTTAAGTCTATTAAATTGTCATATTGAAGCCTGTGGAATCTGAGACTTCAGTAGCACAAATCTCAATGTGATAATTCAGTTAACTCCCCCAATTCCATTCACAATTAGCTAATTTAACAAGTGCCTGCTGAGTTACATAAAGTTAATCATACTTGACTAAATGCAAACAATTTAAAACTGAATGAAATTCAGTTTACTTGAAATTCTATTCCATTCCATTCCATTCCATTCCATTCCATTCCATTCCATTCCATTCCATTCCATTCCATTCCATTGTTGCAACATTTCCCCTATATTGCTAAGTTTTCGGGGAAAAATGTCAGGCATCCCATTTTCTTGCTGCAACACACTAATAGTCAACCTTGAATAGGAAACAGGCTGATTTCAAGGAGAAGCAAGAGCCACTCGTCCAATGCACATAAATTGTATTTCAGAGCTTTTTCAATTCTGCCCTCTGCATGAGATGTGAGCGTGGGAACTTCCACAAGGACAAGTCTACTCCCTCTTGAGGTAAAACTGAAATGGAAGCTTTGGCTGAGTGGTCAATAAACGGCAGGGATTTCACCACATGTCACTGTGAACGTTTAGTTAACATCTCAGCCAAACTAAAAAAAATAAAAAATAAAAATCTATACCCAGAACATGAAGTTGATTACTAAAAATTTGACATACGTAGAAGCAGCATGAAGATTGGATAACCCCATGTCCTGGCTGCTTCTCGAAGGGTTCCTATCATCCACTGGAGAAATGAAACCATCAACATCATCTTCTAGTTGGTCCAAAAAGCTTCGTACGCCAAAGTCAGATTTTATTGTGACGGTTAAATCTGGTTTCACATTGCTGTCATCCTCAGATCCATCCTCTTCCTCCTGTGGAGAGATTTTGATTTCAATGGTTATTAGCTTCTGGGGCACATTATCAAAATGGTTCACATTAAAAAAAAATGGACAGACCAAATACTTTCAAACATAGCATGTTTGAAAGGCCAGTCTATGTGTTGCAACCCTGTGAATGCTTCTTTAGCTTGCTTTCTAAATATCCGCGATTGTGTGAACCAAGAAGAAAGCTGGCATATATAAATATACAACTAACATGGCTAAGATTTGCAAAGGAGCTAGTAGGCCAATATAGAGGACAGCGGGCATGGACGGGGGTGGGGCTGGTGTTAGGGGCGGGTTCTAAATTTTTTTACTCTGGTTCTGTGGGCGTGGCTTATTTTGTGGGCATGGCTTGATGGTCATGTGACAATTATTTAGGATTTAGCAGAGGTACTAGTCTACCAAGCTTTTAACTGCTTGCAGAGCTGTACTGATCTACCCATTTATTTTTGCAGGCACTGATTTACTTATGTATTTTTTCAGGCACTGGTCTACCCATTTATTTTTGCAGGCACTGATCTACTCATGTATTTTTGCAGGCACTGATTTACTCATGCATTTTTTCAGGCACTGGTCTACTCATTTATTTTTGCAGGCACCGGTCTACTCATTTGTTTTCTTTTAACACTGATCAGCTGTAGGGCGGCCCTTTGGAGCCCTGCGGCAAGAGTTTAAACAGTTTTTTTCCCTCTAGCCATCAGCTGGGACTCAGGAGGCAGCAATAGATTGGGGGTGGGGCCAAATAAAAGGTAATAATAATGCGGTGCGTGGGTGGGTGGATGGCAGAACCGGTTTGGTGACGTCATATCGTTACCGCTACCGGCTCGGCAGAACCAGGCGGAACCCACTACTGGCTGGTGTGCTCTGGGGCAGGCGTCTCCAACCTTGGCAACTTTAAGCCTGGAGGACTTCAACTCCCAGAATTTCCCAGCCAGCAAAGCAAAAAGAATTCTGGGAGTTGAAGTCTGCCAGGCTTAAAGTTGCCAAGGTTGGAGAACCCTGCTCTGGACATAGGGTCACGGAGAGTCGGGCACGACTTAGCGACTGAACAACAACAAAAACAATGCACTAACGTTGCCCAGACTTTTCCCCCCATTCTAAAGTATGATGTTGTTAGTTGCGAAGTCGTGTCCGTCTAAAGTATGTACCAATGTTTTATTTTCTTTTGCCAGCTGGAATCCAGCAAGTGAAAAGACGACAGCACTTAAGACAGCACCAAAAATACACCTTCAGTTTGGGTTATCTGAACCTAGTATTTATATTGCGGCCACATTTAATTGTCAAATAATCTATTTCTAGGAACTGAACAATGCTATAAAGAAGGCAGATGTTACCATCCCTAAATAGCGCATAGGAGACCCATAAGACACAGGAAGTGTTTTAGGGAACTAGAATTTATTCATCTAGATTGGCATTGCCTATTCCAGTCTTCCCAATTTAGACACTCTCTGGTTGGATGAGAAGGAAGGACTCACTGGAGAAGAACCTAATGCTGGGAAAGACTGAGGGCAAAAGAAGAAGGAGACGACAGAGAACGAGATGGCTGGATGGTGTGAGCTTAAATGGACTCCAAAGGGTGGTAGAGGACAGGAAGGCCTGGAGGAACATTGTCCATGGGGTTGCGATGGGTCAGACATGACTTCGCAACTAACAACAACAACAACAACAGTAACTGATTGGATAGATTTTAATTCTTGTAAGTCTACACCCAGCATGTCCACTGTGGAAAATTCTGAAGGACCCAAATTTGGAGGACATCCATGTTGGAGAAGAATGGTTTACTGGCTGTCTTAGGACTTGGGCTATTTCTGCTGCTTTTAATCCTTTTAGCTGAAGATAAATCTGACACCTTGTATGAGCAAAGCAACTATTTTGCTGTTCATCAGGCTAGTTTTACCACTTACTGAATTGAATGTCTGGCATAAGAAGTGGAAGGTTCCTGAAACAGACAAATCTTGGTGTTTATGCCAAGTAACTTTCGCATTACACTGGTTTGTTTTATATCAGGAGGCATATTAGGCTGCCTCAGCCCCACTCCTACAAAAATGGGGAAGGGAAAGGACAACGTAACAATTTATACCATCTTATTGCCAGATATGTTCTTTTGCAGTGGGCAAATGTGGTTAGACAGAACTGCAAAGAGGTGTATTTCTTTCACTGGTAGTGAGTCGAGAAACAAAACATGAAGATTTAAAAAAGAAAATATATTAGAACCCCCATTCTTCCAGACAAACTTGGGTCTTGCACCAATTACATAGATTAAAAGTCTGGAGGAATTGTGAAATTGCAATATATCACTAAATAAAATAATTTTCTAAAGCAGACTGTATTAATTGATCTCTAGCTTCCATGGGTGGGATGAGTCCAGAAATTTAGGAACTAAGATACAAAACTGTTACAACTGAAGTACATTGTAAAAGCAGGAATTAGAATGTGGGCAAACAGAAAAACAGCTATTGATTTTGCTGCGAGGTCCTTGGTGCACTGATGATGTTACCTAGTTTGGTAATGAAATGTCTGCATGAAAACAACCCAGCTCAGAGAGCACCAAGGACCCCAAAGTTCAACCCTGAGCTGCAAATATTCTCTTCTATTGATTTTGCTTCCTGGAAACATGGAAATGAAGGAAGAGCATTATCCTCCTCCTCCACAGTGGAAGAGGAGAACTGATGTAAATTGAACAAATGAATTAATGTGGGAGGGGAGCGAGAAGTTTTGGTTTACCTTTATCTCCTTGAAGAAGGAAGCAGTTTCTCCTTCAATTATTGGCTGTAGCAAAGGACTTCTCCGCTTGCTAGAGGGAGAACCCTGCAAATAAATTTTCAAATAGGTTATGTTACAACCCATTCCTTTTCCATTTTATTCTAGGTTGGGGGTGTCAATCTGAAGGTTTGCGGGATGGATACGGCCCGTGGGGTGCTTAGATCTGGCCTGGGGCCCGCCCTAGAAACAGTGAAGGACCGCTCCGTGATGCCCCTGCCAGCAAAAATGGAGCCTGGGCAGGCCGCACGCAGCCTCCCCAAGCTCCGTTTTCGCTGGCAGAGGGCTGCAGGAGGTTGTCATGGCTGAAAACGGAGCCTCAATGAGTGACATAGAGCTGCCTCCCTGGCTCCTGAGGTCAAACACAACCCTGATGCAGCCCTCAATGAAATCGAGTTTGACGTCCCTGTTCTAGGCCATTCAATGCACAACAGAAAATGTTCCCCCTATCATGCTCTTCATACATTATACCATAAAAAGCCTTTCTTATGGTATACAACAACCTCATGGCAAAATGAAACATAAAAGAAAACAAGCCTAAGTTTGGAGGTTGGATGGTGGCAGAAGCTCCACAGATTCTCAGGGAATTTTCGAACAAGACAGGGCTTCTTTCTAATGGACCAACGTGATTTGAAAATCCAAATGGTTAATCTGGGATTGCTAATCAGTTAGGAGTTAGCTGTGTAATAATGGCAGAAAAAAAGAGAAAAACACAATTTTGAGGTACAACCAAATATATACATAATTTCTGAAGGACAGGAAGTAATCATTCTTTTCTATTTTGCTTTGTTAAAACCTGAGTTCTGTTACCAATTCTGAGAAGCTGACTTTCAAGTCTCTAAGAAATTGAAACTGGTTTCAGAGAAAGGTAACAAAAGCGTTCAGGGTACTATAAAGAAATACTTATGAAAAGAGATTGAAGCAGCTGCTTTCTTTAGCCTTGAGTACAGGACTGAAGGAAGATACGATTTCTTCAGATACTTGAAAGGGTATCATACAGGCATGTTTTCTCATTCCAGAGGGCAGGATCCCTCCAGAAACAATGGATTTAAATCAGTGGTGGGACTTGAATAACTTAACAACTGGTTCTCTGGCAGGGTAGGTGTGGCTGGTTGGTCATGTGACTGGGTGGGTGACATCACTCATCACACCCAGCCCCACCTCCCAGCCACTCGCCTCAAAGGCAGAGGTAGGATTCAGCCGGTTAGGGCTAATCCCACCACTGGCTGGCCCCACCCCCACCTGTTTTTTGGGTGGTTTTTAGGCTGTTTTTGGCCCAAAAACCAGCCTGAAAATGGCCCGGAAAACAGGCTGAAAAACAAGCTGGGCTGGGGCCAGCCAGAGGTGGGATTTGCTGATTCGCCGAACTGCATGGAATCTTAATTACCGGTTCGCCTGAACCGGTGCGAACCGGCAGAAGCCCACCTCTGATTTAAATGACAGGAAAGGAGATTCTGGTTGAAGGTTTAAAAAGATTTCTAAAGTAAGAATAGTCTGATAGTAGAGCCAATTACCCAGACACATAGTGGGCTCCATTTTATTGTGGAAGCTCGAAAGTCAAGTCTCTGGAATCCTTCAATTTGGCTCCTTGCATTGGACAAAGGTTGTAGTCAGAGATTTAAGACTAATTGTAATTCTATGATACTGTTCTGAGATATTCATTCTTTCTTGGTGCTTATCAGACTTCCTGGCTCTCATTTTTAAATGCTTCTAATGAAAACAAAAAATAAATGGAAAGCTAGTGCATGGCAAAGCCAAGGCCCTTCTTTCAGCGTATGCAGTAGTTCTTGGAGACATTCTAAGGAAAAACAATGAGTTCTTTTGGGAAGCTTTCTTTGGAAGTATTCTCTCCTGCCCAGGTGGAAAAAAATATAGGTAAGAATGAATAGTGGGGAGAAATTTTACTACCATACTTTTCGAAGTATAAGACGCACTTTCTCCCCCCCCCAAAAAAGAGGGTGGAAATGTTAGTGCGTCTTATACACCGAATATAGCCATTTTTGGTGTCCTGAAACCCTGCCCCACACGTCCTGTTTTCACCAAAAACAGGACACGCAGAGGGTTTGGGAGGCCTGCAGAGTGCTCCTGGGGACTGGGGAGGGGAAAAAACCGGACGCACGGAGACCAAAAACTATTTTTTGTTTTCCTCTTCGAAATCTTGGTGTGTCTTATATTCCGGTGCATCTTATAGTCCGAAAATACAATAGTTTGCTCTACATAAAGGGGTGTTGATGTCCTTCCTGCCAGTATTTTATGTTCTTAAAATTCCAAACATGTGCTCAGCTTACGGTCCTAGATCATGCGACATAGTGAAAATAGAGCTTTAAGATTTTTTCACAAATAGGAGCTTTTGTTCCTTAAGACCTTGCAAAAATGAATGGGACTGCAGAACGCATGGGCCATTCATGGACCATTTGGAACTGACATCTTTTGATGGTTTATGTCTCACAAGTAGAAGAAACCAGCTTTGTGGACCGGGAGGGGGGGGGGTTTACAGGGGATGGTTCTGTGTGAGTGGCGGGCAAGTGCATGTTTGCAGCTCATCTGTGCATAAATGGAGCGTGCATGCACTCTAATCGCTGCTCTTGTAAATGGGAATGCCTGTGCACGCTCACCCATTGCTTGTACAAGTGGGGATGCACACACACACTCGTCACTTCCACATCCCAGTTCTGAATGGCTCACAGCCTGATAATGGCCCACACCCTGGGGATTGGAGATCTCTGTTATAGGTGATAACCTGTAACCTGGTTATCCTGGTTAGGGAGCCTGGTTTAGCTCAACAGACAGAAGCACTGTAATTTAACACCAGCTGTCTGCAATTAAAGTAAGATCGAATCCCGCCAGGCTCAAGGTTGACTCAGCCTTCCATCCTTTCTAAGATAGGTAAATTGAGGACCCAGTTGTGGGGGCAATAAGCTGACTTTGTATAAATATACAAAAGTATGAAGGCTATTGCTTAATGCACTGTAAGCCACCCTGAGTCTCCGGAGAAGGGCGGCATATAAATCAAATTAAAAATTAAAAAAATAAAATAAATAACCTGGAAGAAACCATATCTCGTCCAATGAGTTCATTAGAACAGAATTCTGCTGCCAAGGGGGGGAGTGGTGCAGTGGCCTAGAGGTAGAGCTCTCGCCTAACGATCAGGAGGCTGTGAGTTTGATCCTAGGTAGAGGCAGATATTTCTCTCTCTGGGCACAATGAGAATATATTTGCTGAACAAAACTCTGCATTGGCGACAGGAAGGGCATCCGGCCAATAAACACTCTGCTAGCTCCATTCAGTTGCCCAGACTATACCCTGCAAGGGACTATGGGGTCATTAAAAGGATGATGAAATGCTGCTGCCAGGGCTGACTAGAGGTAGCTGCTAGGGAAACTTGTATTTCTTTTCATAGTGTGCAAGTATAAATATAAATATCTGGCTGTTACTACAGAGAAGATGTGGACTGTGAGCAACAGTGTTCTTTCTTGCCCTGCTTGTTAAGAAAATTCAAGTGCAACAATCAAAACATTAGGTTTACACTCACGATAATGGGAATAGAGTTTGCCCTTGAGAGGATCTGCTTGACCAAGCGGTATCTGTCGTAGAGGGGCTTCATAGTTTGCCGTTCGTGTTTTGTTACCTGAAAAGAAGAAAATTGCTTGAATCTTGGTGCTGGTGCAAGGTAGGTTTTGCTAAAGCTGACCATATTTGGGTATGGGTCACAAAAGTCTTGGAAGTTTCCAGATTTCAGCAAAGAGAACTCTTTACCGCTAGTGATCAATCACATTTTTACAGCACAGACTCTGTTTTCTAGAGAATGTCTTGTGAAGAAGAAGGATCATCTACTTTCTATTATCCCCTTTTGAAGGGTAGGGCTGGGCACAGGAGCTACTGATAAGGAATGCAATTGTACAACACAAACTTTAATGGCATTATAATAGTTCTTAGATACCTATTTCCTATAATCTTTCCTATTATCTCACCAGACTCCTTGATTTCTACTGCTTGAGTATGTGATTGTTTGCCCTTATTAATATTTTCTATCCAATCAAAAAAGTTAACATCTAGGTATGCACGATATCCAATGTGGAATTTAAGTAAAATACAACTGCAACAATGCAGACTGTTACACTTTAAATTCTTGCATTTATCATCATCATAGTTATCAGTTTAAATGGAAATTTTTATCATTCAGATCTGTGGTTCTAAACTGTTTCATTTTTACCAGTCCCTTGAGAAGGAAACGTCTTTTCATCTTTCATGGTCTAAGCTGAAAGCCTGATCCGTACCTAACCAAATCACATCAGGTTTGGTACAGCAGTAAACAGGACAGGTAAACACTCCTGTCATGGAGCTGTCACTCAGGGAGCAGCAGAAAAAACAATCACTATCAGCCTGCCTTCCATAGACGACCTGTATACTGTACAGGTCAGAAGGAGGGCTAAGAAAATATCTACAGACCCCTCACATCTAAACCAGGAGTCGGCAACCTTAAACACTCAAAGAGCCACCAAGGTCCTAACTGAAAGCCCCCCGTTCAATTCTGGAGCCGAACCGAAGTCCGGTTCCCCCACCATAGAGTCTCTTCCTAGTGCGGCATCCTTTTTCCTCTACCTGTCCTAACTGAAAGCCCTATCAATTGTGGAGCTGACCGGAAAACCTGTCCCTTGCCATAGAGTCTCTTCCTGGTGCGCCGTGCTTTTTCTCCCCATAACCGGAAACTCCTCTCAAAATTATGGCGGCAACAGGGAGCCAGAGGGATGAAAGAGCCACACATGGCTCCAGAGCCAACGGGTTGCTGATCCCTGTCCTAGACATACTGTTTCAACTCCTCCCCTCAGAATGCTGCTACAAGGCATTGCAGGCCAAAATAACTACACACAAGGACAGTTTTTACCTCCTTGTGCCATCACTCTGCTGAACACCTAATCCTCACAATCTTATGTCTAAGTATATTTACCATGTTATATGGTTGTAGTATTATTATCCTTCTCATCTTCTCTACTACACCCTCTTATTGGTATCATATTATGATTACAAATGGAAGAGAATATATATACGTGTCCCAGGATGAAGTTGCAGGATCCAATCTGGGTCAGTCACCGGGACCAGAGGTTTCGTCTTCCAAGATTTCGGACTCGTGCTGAAGCCCATCTTCAAGGAACTTGTTTCTAGCAGAGTGTGTGCTGTTCTATGTGTGTTCTATAGTGCCTGTTGTATGTGGCTTTTTAGATGTTGATTGGGGTGTATTGATGGCTGGCTTTTAAGTCATTAGCTGTCCTTTGCTTGTGCTGCCCAGCTCTCGCCTTCTAAGTACTTGAATCAGCACTCCTGTTGACGAGGGGCCTTTTTCCCCAGGCTTCAATCATTTCCCTGGCTGTTTTTGCGCCCACTCGTCCAACAATCCTGGCAGCTGCAAAGTTGAATGTGTGTCCCTGTTCATAACAGTGATATTATGATTATTATTACTCTGCTGCTTTGCACATACATTGAGAGCTTATGCACCGGAGACAAATTCCTTGTCTGTCTAATCACACTTGGCCAAATAAAAGTATTCTAGATTCTATTCTATTCTTTTTATCTCAACACTTTGCACCAATTATAATTACTGTTCACAATGATACCAAGCCAGTCATCAACATCACTGTTTTGCTACTTTTCTTTGTATATTTTAATGAACGGGGGACATGTTCTCACATTTAATAGCCAGACAACTGCATTTACCGAAATGCTGAGCCCATTTGATACAAAAATTACTATACTTACTGGTCTTCCATGGATGCTTTCATAATAGAGGAGGGATTTCTGAAGGGCCACTTTCTCTGATGCTATCTCATCTCGAGTCATATCCTGGGTAGAGGAAGGATAGACAAAAAGTAGAGGAATAGCGTTACACAGTATGTTGTTTGTACTGCCATTTCTATCCTGGTGTTTTTTATTTGCTAATCGGTGGCTAACTTGAGTCTGTTTAAAACTGTTCCTTTATATCTGAACATCACCTGGAATTGCTGAATTAAATGCAGTTAATCAATTCATTAATCGATATGCCCAGAATTCTGCCTGGATAGGTGTTATTGGTAATTTTTCTTTTTGGTTAGGTCTAAGGATGTGAACAAAATTCTTTGAAAAACGTGGCTTCCTGACCAGGACTTTCAAGAAGGTCAAGAAAAGGATTCATTGGGTGGGTCAGTGAAAATAAGTAATAATATCTTGTAAGAATATTTTAGCTGTGTCTGAAAGCAACAATACATGATGGTCTTGAGACTTGGACCTAAAGGCTGCTGCCTTATTAATTCTTCTTGGTATATTGACAATTTCCTACACCATTAGATTTCGACTGCTTTCTTGAGAGATGGATTAGAGTGGGAGATACTTTAATAATATTAATGTTTGACGGATGGTTCTAGAAGGTGAGGTTGAGAAACTACAGTACTTGTCAAATGGAAATGCAAACATCAGAATGCTGCAATATCAAGTACTGAGTCTGGCAAGCAACATGGAAAAAAAACAGTCAATAAACAAGGCTTAATAGATGAAAAGTTGATGATGTTGCTTGGCTGTTCTTTTGCCCTAGACTGCAATGTTCATGTTTTTTAGAAGGACAGCATTCCCTTTCAAAGATTAGTCCTGCATCTCCAGTTATTTAGTGGTATCTGTGGTATGAAATATCCACTGGACATCTACTGAGTAGAAAAATCAGTTATCCATTTATTTACTGGATTTATGTCACTATCCATCGCACATATATGACTTGGGACAGCTTACAATAAAAATTTAAGACATACACCACAAAAACCAAAAACATGCAGCTGTCTGGAATCGTGATCAATTTAAGATTACTCCTTTTAAAGACCGCTGGAAAACTAAGCAAGTAATTTAATAGTTCTGTTTTGAAATAATTAGGCGTATGTGATCGTCCTTCACTAGTCTGAGACGCATTTCTGGGAAAAACTGAGACTGCTGATGCTGTTTTTAATTCCCCTTCATTGTTTATGATAAGAATAGCTGATGGCAGCCTTGAGGACATAGAGTGGTGACAGGACTTTATATACCAGCCTTGTCCTTTCCTTGCTGTGGGTTCAGCAAAAGGTAAGAGATTGTATTAAAGATTGGAAAGAAATTTGTAACTGCAGCAGTGACACTGCCTTCAACACATCAGTATTTGCAGTACAGCCAAGGTCATTTTCAATGTCTGGGAACAAAGCCTTAAGAGATCTGCCAAAGATCATCTTCCCACCCTTAATAAAATAATTGAGAGTGGTACAATCCCTGACACTGTGAAGTTGTCAAATATTTATTGTAGACCTTCCAAATAACCATTTATTCCATAACGCCTACAAGCAATCTATTTAGGTTATATTCAGCTTTTTTACAAAACCTTTTAAAGATGACAATGTTTAGGCTGAAAGCTTGAATCACAAATTAAGTGTAGAACAGCATAGTCCATTCCCGAAATGGAATCCAAATGTTCTTCTATGAACCTTCTGGGACAGGCAAAGGTTCACAGGGCTCCAAGCAAATGGATTTCAAGAACAGATGTTGCCCAAAACTCTATAGAAACTTTCTATTTTGGGCAAACTTCTGCCAGTTTTGGGAAATAAAAAGTAGAACACATTGGGACCATACCATAGTTTTGCATAAGCCTACTTATTAAGAGGGTGGGACATGGTGGCTCAGTGGGTAAGACACTGAGCTTGTCGATTGAAAGGTCGGCAGTTCAGCAGTTTGAATCCCTAGTGCCACGTAACGGGGTGAGCTCCCATTAGTTGTCCCAGCTTCTGCCAACCTAGCAGTTCGAAAGCATGTAAAAAATGCAAGTAGAAAAATAGAGACCACCTTTGGTGGGAAGGTAACAGCGTTTCGTGCACCTTTGGTGTTTAGTCATGCCGGCCACATGACCATGGAGACGTCTTCAGACAGCGCTGGCTCTTCAGCTTTGAAAGGGAGATGAGCACCGCCCCCTAGAGTCAGGAACAACTAGCACATATGTGCGAGGGGAACCTTTACCTATTTAGTGACCGAAGTTACATTGGCACTGAAAAAAGTGACTTATGCCCATTTTTCACACTTACAATCGTGTAGCATCTCCATGGTCACGTGTTCAAAATACAGCTGCTTGGCAACTGACTCATATTTATGACCGCTGCAAGTCCTGGGGTCATGTGATCACCTTTTTTGACTTTCTGACAGGGAAAGCCAGATTCACTTAACTATGTTACTAATTTAACAACTGCAGTGATTCATTTACTGCACATGCCGGCCACATAACCTTGGAGACCTCTTCGGACAGCGCTGGCTCTTTGGCTTTGAAATGGAGATGAGCAATGCCCCCTAGAGTCGGGAACGACTAGCACATATGTGCGCGGGGAACCTTTACCTTTACCTTACTTATTAAGTTCACTTAATTTAGGCCTTTTGCAAACAACCGTATAGAAGAAATATTCTTCAAAGCCCTTTATTTACCCTCTCACACTAGAACTTTATACTATGCCATAAGGATACTAAAACAGCCTTAATATTCAAAATTGGCATGCTTTAATTAGCACCTCTATCATCTCTATATGCACACCACTTGCAGAGAAAATCTTAATAATGGTGTGGGATTTTTTAAATTATTTTTTTTCTTTCTATTTTCCTAAATTTACCTTAATATCCTCAGGTCGACTTGCTTCTGTCCTTTTCTCTTGGAGCTTCTTCTGCATGGATTCTAAAGTTGCCTCCACTGAAGGCTTCGATGATTTGTCAGAGACATCGTGTTTCTCCTCCTCTTTCTCCAGCTGAGAGCCAAAACTTTTGGGGAGTGTATTGCTACGTTGGCGTGTCATAGGAACCAGATCTTGTTCTGACATTTTCAGTTTTGATTCTAGTTTTAGAGAAAAAAAAAAGTATTTTTATTTTTAATGACAAGCAACGGAAAGCAAGTTTCAAGCCAAAAGGAGGAGATGTTGCCAGGTTAATTCTCACCTTTTAGTTGCTTCCTAAACTTTGCAAGGTCATTTGTCCATTTCAGCACCTCGAGATTGGCTGCTTTGTCGCTGTGAGAGGGCTATCCCAGAGGAGGAAACAAATAGGAACAAAAGATTTTTGTGAACGAAGGAATTGAAATCAAGGCTTGTAATAAATGCATATTTATTTAATTTATTCCAGCACCTTTCAAAATTTCCCAAAACTTTGTGCCAATCTAGAGGAGGGTTTTCTTTAATATAATTAAGAAGTTCTGAGTGACATTTTAAAGCAGGGGTGGAGAATGATCGTCCTTTTATGACCTGTGGACTTAAACTCCAAGAATTTCTGAACCAGCCAAGCCGGCTCAGGAATTCTGGGAGTTTAAGTCCACAGGTCATAAAAGGGCCATAGTTTCCCACCTCTGTTAAATGTATATAATAGTATTTTAAAAACAAATGACATTCTTTGCTTTGTGCACTCTCTAAAACTTGTAAATAAAACAGACAGGTGTCTATTGCACATAAAATTTTTAAGTCACCAGATGAGATTAACAGCTTCATCAAATATATATTTTATTTAGATATGCATTACTTGCTCAGCTTTAGTGGGCTTTTTTTCCAATGGGTTAAAAAAAGGGATGGCTAATTAATAATGAAAAAACCTAGTCAGTGGTTTCCTCTGCTAGATAATCAGCTAAATGATTGTACTGTTTAACAATTCAACCTCTACTGATGTTCAGGTAAATCACATTTGGGTAATTGGGAAAGAAATTAAAATCTGAAAAGTGCTGTTTGATTGAAGGAAAAGTTTTCGTCAACTTACTCTATACTTTCTCTCCTCCTCAAATTTATCTTCGTACCGCCTGATCTTTTTCTTCAGTCCTTGAATCCTCCGAGTTAACTGTGCTGGTGTCAAATCTTCACTGTCATCTTCGTAAGATCCCAAAGAAGAACTTCTTCGCCTAGAATGAAAGTCATGCCTTTAAGGTTCAATTAATTTGTGCACATACAGTGACATGAAAAGAGGATCCTGGAAAAAGAAAATGTTAACTGCTGTCATATGCTCCTTTACACGGAATTATATATATATTCCTCCAGAGCTCCCCACAGAAATGCAAAGGGTAGAATTTCAAAACAAGTCATTGATTGCATGAAAATGCATAATGCAAAAATATTTAAATGACGACTGAATAGAAAACCACAGGGTCAGAGGGATGAACATGAAGATACAAATCAGAATATAGAACCAATGCTGTTTATTGGGTAGAAATTGGATGTTTGATTCCAGATGGCCTGTGTTTGCCTCCTTTGATATCGCTATACTATTAAATTTTGTTCCATGCCTTAAGACTGAGATTAACTGTCAAGATGGCATCTGAGATCATAGATTTAACAATATATTGTGTAAGATTACCAATTATATTCTTTGCCTTTAAAACCTAGCTTATATGCACAGCAAAATAAAATGCTACAATCATGAAATGGGATACAGTATTCCATGTTGGTGGAGAAATAGTTTCAACCGCCATCACCTGCAAAACATTTTCTGAACAAAATCCCATTTTTGCAGTTCTTCTTTTCTCCCCTGCTGGATGTTATATTTACATTAATTAAACATTACCAAATGTGGAGCTACCCTTCTTTTTCCTTCCACAACCTGAGCTAGAGCAAAATATGAAGAAACGTGGGAGATCTTTGAAATAAAACCAACAAGGACAGTCTTTCCTCTAAATCACAGAGAACTCTGAATTGCAGACGGAGTCTATCATACTGAGTATCTGCTAAAAAATGGAATAACCACACAACGGGAAGGAGTCTAGGCTCAGTTGGAAATAAATGGGTGGCTGGAATTCTGGAGCAGTTCAGTAAGGGAAGTGAAGTCCTACCCAAGTAATTCTCCAAAGCACCTGAGGGTAGAACAAGAAGCAATGGGTGGAAACTAATCAAGGACAGAAGCAACTTAGAACTAACGAGACATTTCCTGATAGTTAGAACAATTAATAAGTGTAACAACTTGCCTGCAGAAGTTGTGAATGCTCCAACACAGGAAGTTTTTAAGAAGATGTTGGATAACCATTTGTCACTTCAGACATTTATCTGAAGTGGTATAGGGTTTCCTGCCTGGGCAGGGGGTTGGACTAGAAGACCTCCAAGGTCCCTTCCAACTCTATTATTCTATTCTATTCTATTCTATTCTATTCTATTCTATTCTATTCTATTCTATTCTTATTCTTATTCTTATTCTTATTCTTATGACCAGCCAACCTACCTCATGAATGAATGAGAATTGGGTGGGGAAGGAGGCACTTCTGTGTCATCCAAGTACTGCTGACTTTGCCCATAGTTATAAAAGCGAGGGGACAGCATTGGGTCACTGTCTTCATCCAGAAGCTGCTGAATGAGGCGTCCAGCCTGAGGGGAAAGGCGAGCTTCATCGGAATCTACGTCATTACGCTGCCAGGAGGAAAAAGCAGGGACAGGTTCTGGAAAACAGAGGAGAGGAACAACAATGGGGAGCTTGGTCTGCAATTGTGTTTAGTTTGACTATAAATACTCAGTGTCTCTTAAGTCTCTAGCTCAGGGCTTCCAAACTTGGCAACTTTTAAGACTTGTGGACTTCAAATCCCAGAATTCCTCAGCCACAGCTGGCTGAGGAATTCTGGGAGTTGAAGTCCACAAGTCTCAAAATTGCCAGGTTTGGAGACCCCTGCTCTAGCTACTGCACATAATTAAACTTTTCATACAGTAGAAATCACAATCCTTAAAATCCAGCAAGCAAACTAAGGAAACGATGGAAAAAACCATAGCACAATAGACAATATAAAACAAGTCATTAAGAATTCAAAATATCTTGCAGGTTGTGTCCTAGTGACCCCAAAGGAAGGTAAAAATCTTCATTTGCAAAGCCCACTTACCATCAAATAATAGATGGAAAAATATTTATTGATTTCCTTAATACTAGCAAGGTTTAGATAACTCTTCTATTTGAGCCACAGATTACTTGGAGAAAAGTTAACATTTTTTTTTTTCTTCAGATAAATAAAGTCATACTTCTAAAATGCTTGAAAGAGCAATTGTAACAAAGGATCCTCACTAAAAAGATATGAGGATTACTTTTCTAAATGAGTGTCCCAAAGCTGGAGGACAGCTGTTTCAGAGCAAATCTCTGGCTTTAGATTGAAGGAAGATATTCTACCGATGACCTTAAGGTAAGCACACGGCAGGTGTTGAATTAGTTATGAAGGTTAAACTCTGCAGAGGTCAAACTTAATACAGTAATTTGAATTGGCCCAGAAACACACTGGAAACAAATAAATGCAAGAAAGCTTGTATCATAATATTAGTGCCTATTAAGTTCTTAATTTCACTCCAATAGTCTTATTAACTACTATCCATTAATGTAAATTGGGTGTTACTTGTTAGTTCTGGATCCTTGGTAGAATTAGAAATAAAGGGACATCGTCTAAGTCCAAGAAGTAGATTATTTTCAAGGGCAGCAAACAAACTGCAGATAATTTGGCGGCTATGATATTTTATGTTCACTTTGCAACCTCTGTGCCCTTTCGCTACATTTTCAAAATTCAGAATATATCTGCCTCTAAACAGACTTGCGAGCACTATATTTGGCCAGAGAGAAGGCATTTAACATGAACCATTTTTATAACTGCTGAAATTTCTGCCCTTCAGAAGTCAAAAGAATGTTTATGAACTTACAGAGCATTCCCGTGGGATATACTAGGACTTAAGAGGGTCTGGAAGGAAATACTATTTTGGATTCTCCCACAGCATGTTCTCACCATTTTGCAATATTGTACTGCCAAATCTACTCCTTCATAAAGCAACTTCCAGAACAGAAACCACTTCCAAAAACACCAGGACCTGGTCCTTCTTTGCTTTAGCTTTCTTGCCCAACATTTTTTAGATTTTAGATACTAACATCGATATGATGTGAGATTTGATAATCTCTAGTGTAATCTAGTTGGCTATTTTTTAAAAACCAAAATTATTCTATTTTGGGATTTTGCAGATGCTATCTGAAGACTTGTGTGTCATAGTGCCTGCAGATGTTGCATTGTGGACTCCTGGCTTAAGGTGCTCCTCCAAAAACCTGTGATGATGTAATGAGCCACATAAATGAAAGGCTTGGGAATTTCTTTTTAAAAGAAAGCAAGAAACAATCACTCTATAGTTTCTGAATGGATACAGGTGCAAAATCTGTAATTATAATTATATATAATAATTAAAAGCATAATTTGTGGCAGCAAAAGACCTCTGTATGAATTAAGTCCTTCGTTTAGTCTGAAGAAATGTTTAAAAAAGGGGTTAGAAAAATACACGGTTTAGAAAAGCAGACAAAGATCTGGGAAGACCAATAGCCTTCTATTTGTCAATATGCAATATAAAGCATTTTTATATTTTAATTTTTAAGAATCTATAGGAATACTAAAAGACTCCTCAAATTGTTGGGACCACTAACATTTTGGCCTTGTATGGGTCTTTCTACACCCTCTACCTTATGGAGAGGCCAGTCATACCTCTTGTTCTGTTTAACTCTTCTTCTTTCTATTATGACATCATCAAATCTTATTCTACTATTCTGCATCTGTAACTAAGCTCTGGTTACTTTCAAATGACCAGGTAAGAGAATTTATCCAACATCAATATCTTTCCCTTTTCGATTGCTTTTATAAATTACAAGCTATAACTATTCAGATTCAGCTCATCCCATGTTTACTTAACCGAACTTAATTTCAAAGTACTATCAGAAAATAATAATTATCTCAATTCTGCCATTTCGCTTAATTGAACAAATTTAAAGTTCAGGCTATAAGAGAGATGAGAGCGTAGGAAAATGAGAATGGAAAGTTAGGGAGAACAGCATTTTGGAAGAAACCGAAAGAAATGTTCATGCTTTGTGATAATTCCCATTGCATCCTACAAGAAGTCTTATTTACAAATTTACAGTTTACTAAGCTGGCCTGCATGCTCCTATTTAGCACACTGGATTAATTGGTTTACAATTTGTGGCTCTGTGATTCCAAATAAGAATTATGGAGGCAACGATGAAAATTTCCCAATAAATAAATTAGAAATAAAGAACTGCTGTAAAAGCTCTTTCTAGAAGGAGGGAAAGCATATGAAAGTGCTTACTTCTGATCATGCATAAGCCAGCAACCAAACCTTACATTCTTAAAACTCATTCCAAAATCACTGCCAACTTTCTCTTAAAAGATTACTGGTGTTTTGGCCTACATATTCATAAAAATCTAGGAATAAGTAGACATTTTCCAGATCTATACCAATATAACATGATAATATTGTCCCACGAATAAAACTTTCTGAATGAATAAAAAAATCAGCACGTCAAGAATGATCAGCCAGGTCTACTTTAATGCAGGGAGTTATGCTGTTAAGTGTCCATATTTCTTCTTACAACCTCAAGTTGCCTTGTTTTGTGACCTGCCAACCCCCTGCTCAAGCAGGATACCCTACACTATTTCAGAAAAATACCATTGTTCAATTTTTATGGACGGTTAAACCACCCTAAAATACTTACTGCCAATGACCTTGTGTATCATTTTAATACCCCATCAGGAATAGAACTGAGTCAGATGGCTATCAAAAGTAAGATATTAATTAAAATTTGGGAGGAGGCTCAATAGTTTGCCATAATAGTTATGTTCCATCTATGCTCAACTGCAATATCCTTTTTTCCCTAGATTTTGAGTTGGCATTCCGCAAACAAAGAACCATTATGTCTCAAAGATTCCATAGATCCAGTATTTCCTCATTTCTCTTTCCTACATGAGGGAGACACAAGGCTTTTGGGCAAAAGCATGAAATTGACAATATTGAGGAAGAAGGGAAGATAGTGGACATCTTCTATGAAAATGAGTCAATGCACAAGTGGGGAAGAATTTGATCTGGATGAATTTATTCTTAAAAAGTACAGAGTAGAGTGGATGAATTTATTCTTAAAAAGTACAGAGTAGAGGATTTGGGCAATACTTTATAACTGTGAAAGAGCGATTAAAAAAATTAACGAATTAAGTAAACTTCCTATTCAAGCAACTGATCTTCAAGTACCAGATGCTTGTAGACATCATTAATGATGGTTGATTCCACAAAGCTCTACTTCAGAGTTTGTGGGAGATATCTGTTTGTCACATACAGATTGAACCAAGGGTGAAATCCAGCAGGTTCTAACAGGTTCTGGAGAACTGGTAGCAGAAATTTTGAGTAGTTCAGAGAACTGGTAAATACCACCTCTGGCTGGCCCCCAAGTGGGGTGGGAATGGAAATTTTGCAATATCCTTCCCCCAGGAGGGGTGGGAATGGAGATTTTGCAATATCCTTTTCCTGCCACGCCCACCAAGCCACGCCCACAAAACCGGTAAGGAAAATTTTTGAATTTTACCCTTGGATTGAACTTTTTCTAAATATGATCCAACAGGGTAATGTTTAGTTGTTTACTCTTATAAAATATGCCAGCAGAGGCAAGCCAAATAAATCATTCTTATCATTTCTTCTACTCAAACATGACCAGAAATTTTGTTTTACCTCATTTATTTTGAGTGAGGAAGCACTTTCTTTAGGGGCAAACATATTTAAATTAGAACACGAGAAATATAATTCACTAAATAACATACCATGTTTTCCCGAAAATAAGACCCTGTTTTATATTTTTTTGAACCCTGAAATAAGCGCTTGGCCTTATTGCCATGCACTCAAAAGCCCAATTGGGGTTATTATCAGGGGATGTCTTATTTTGGGGGAAACAGGGTATTTAGAATGAAAATAACAGCAAAAATAATTCCAGCTTACAGAATAAAGATGGGGATTTATTGATTTAAAAATAAAGTAGGACATCGTGTTCTTTAAGTCCCATTTAATTTCAGTCAAGGGAAAATAAAATTTGAAGGAAGGGTAGTTTTTTAGAATTGAGATATCACAGAGAAGGCCCCGTTTCTTGAGATCACTAACGTAATAAATCTTTCTAGTAAGCATATTAGCAATGCACAAACATCACCACTACTTCTTAAAAACAAAAACAACCCCCAACCCTTATAGAGCAATTCTTTTTTGTTTATTTATAAGAACAAATAACTGGAGAAAAATGGAGAGGATTTCATACCCTTTACATGATTGTAAAAACAAAACAAAACAAAACAAAATTCTGTTGAAAAGTTAGATAGCATGTGTTCATGCCATCTGCTATTCATTCTTATATAGCGCCGTGTAGGTGGTTATTAGAGTGTTAACTTCTGCAATCAAAATGTTCCAGAAAGTGTCAATATTAACAGTGTTGAAGGCATTAAGAGCATGTGAGGTAATACAGCACAAATTCAGAGGACCGAAAAATTTCCTGTCAATTAAGAAAACTATGTCACTGATCACAAGTCCTCCTCTTGGGTATATTTAATTTGTGAAAAACTAAAATATTACACACAGATATGACATCTGTGTCATAAAATGCCTCAAAGATATAACAAATCATACTGCTGGCATAAATTAAAGCTAACAAAGCATACCTAGCATAAATTAAAACCAGCATACAAAAGAGAGAAAAATGGTAAAATAGTTTGGGTCAAGTATTGATTTTATATTTTTCGAGAACATCTATGTCTACTTCCAAACTTCCCTAATGTTGTAATTCCTTAGAATGAAGAACTTTGGAAAATATTTGTAGGAAGATTAAAAATGGATATTATGATAGCATTCTTCAAGTATATGAAGAATTGTCATAAGAAAAAGGCCTTAATCTTAATCATCCCAAAAAGTAAGGCACATTATAATGGAAGTTAAAGGAGAGTTTCAATGGCCACAAAACAGAACAGAAAATTGTCTCTAGGGACATTCACAATCTGTGTTGTGACCTGCCAAATATTCTCATTTGATTGTATGAGGATAGTGCTGGAATTTGATCTCCTTAACTTTCATCTAAAAAAAGTAAAAAGCGCTACACAATTCTATAAGATAAGGTAAAAGTTTCCCCGCACATGTGTGCTAGTCATTTCCAGCTCTAGGGATGGTGCTCATCTCTGTTTCTAAGCCAAAGAGCCAGCGTTGTCCGAAGACATCTCCGTGTTCATGTGGCTGGCATGACTCAATGCCAAAGGTGCACGGAGCGCTGTTACCTTCCCACCAAAGTGGTCCCTTTTTTTCTACTTGCATTTTTTTAAAGAAATTTCGAACTGCTAGGTTGGCAGAAGCTGGGACAAATAACAGAAGCTCACCCCGTTACGCAGAGCTAGGGATTCGAACTGCCGACCTTCTGATTGACAAGCTCAGCGTCTTAACCACTGAGCCACCACATCCCTACACAATTCTATACTCTACATTAAACAAAATTTTCAGCGAATGGACTATGAGTATCAATAATTACTTACTAAATTTCCATTTTTACTTCTTTGAATTCAGAGAGTGTCTAAAATAGAGTATTAATTCAGTAGAAAATGAGCAAACATACATGTAGAATATTCACATTGCTGGCTTAAGCCAATGTATCTCAACCCCAGCAACTTTCAGATTATGGACTTCAATTCCCAGAATTTAAGTGTACACATCTTAAAGTTGCTGAGGTTGACGACTAGCCTAGGTAATGCTATTCCAACTCTCTGTTCAATTATCCATGATTCAGATTAGGGACAATCCATACTACTGCTTAGTTTGTGAGACAGTTTGTGAGGAATACGTGCAGCTAAATCAAATACTTCTAAATCTCTTCACCTACCTAACAACTAAATCATGAGTATCATGATTTGTCAATCCACGGTTCATGATTAGAAAATAGTCAGATGAGATTATGCCACCTCTAATGTTCACTGACCTCTCTTTCTACATGATTTTGTTCTATTTTATTATTTATTTATTTATACATCATATTCAGAAACTGGCCTTCTCCCTGAAAAAGCGACTCTGGGTAGTGTATAAATTCTATCATCAATATCCCAAACAAATAGCGGTACATTTCAGAAGTAAGCTGTATTCTTTGCTCTTACTTCTAATATGCCCCAAAGTGGAATTTGCATCAAGCAATGCAAGAGATTAAGAGAACAATCATCCATTCTGTAGTCTTTCCAAATTGTTCAAAAAATAAGAAAAAAAAAATTCTCATGTCATCCCTGACTGCTAAAACCACAGGGAAAGAATGCAACTATCAAACTGTAAAAAGAAAGTTGTATCATCTGGTATATTCCCATTACAAATATCCACAGCAGCTGATGGGGCAGGTTTGCATATCAGCTAGTCTATTTGAGCCTGCTTTAGAATTCTGAACTGATACAAAAATAGCATGTGGACACAACTTGGCATCAATTCCAAAAGGCTTTGGTCCAGATAGACAGATACATTGAACATTTCCATAGAGTCACAGAATGTAAGAGTTGGAAGGGATCACGTAAATCATCCAACCCTCTACCCTTGCTAGCTAGGGAATTCTGGGAGCTGAAGTCCACTCATCTTCAAGTTGTCAAAGTTGAGATACATGGCTCTTCCTAGTGAAAGGAACTGCTATTAACGAACAAACTTTTCAGTTCCGCCCCCAAATACCAAAATCCAAAAATGCAGTAATAAAATGTCCGTAAGCACTTGGAAAAAAAAAAAAAAGGAGGGGGGGGGCACTAGGTTCTCTAAAGAACCAAAATGTGTGATAGCAATGTTCTTCCAATGTTTCCAGTCACTGTTTTCAGTAGCATGACTTAAAGCACTCTGTGCCTTTTAAATTAGTGGATACCAACAAAACAGTTTGCTAGGGGAAAAAACACACTAATACTATATTCCTTTCCTTGTAAAGATAATGTAAACAAATGAAAGTAATTCTATTCCCCCTTATTCAACAGCAGACAATAAAAGTATGTATTTGTTTATGCAATCAGAGTTAGAACTGCTAATGCTAAATATCTCTGCCTTGCTACACAGAAAAAGAAATCAGAATATTGGTTACACCCATTTACCTTGGGTGAATCAATGATTTTAAGATCCTTAAAAAATGGTGGGGCGAATTCTCTTAACTGAACCTTATTATACATGGGAATAGATTTTTAAAAACTAGACAGTTAAGCAGGAATACAAAAAATACCAATTTAAGCAAGCTATCATTCCCTCAGACAATACATGTGTATTATCTGAACCTAGGGACAAATATGCTCCCCATAGACGGACTCAGGGATTTATTAAGGTATCTTTTAGCTGATTTGCCAGAAGGGAGACCTTTAAACTGCAAAATGTTAGCAATCAACTGAACATGACAAAAACATTTCTTTTTCTTATGTTCCTGAAAAGAATGTCCAATGGCATCTTTTGCACCATAAGTTCAGCTCTTGCATTCAAACAGTTTATTAGTTTCCACAGATTAACTTTCCCCAGATCAGTATTCTTCTTCACACGAGCAATTCAACAGGCATGTGGACTGAGAAGCTACTGCTGAAGACATCTGAACGGTAACAGGCTGGGGAAAACTGTCACTTATCATCCCAGAAACAAGAGGGAAAGTCAAAGACAGAAGTAAAACATGCAGTCCTGCTGAAATAAAAACTGTCTCATTCATGCTCAACAAGCAATCCTACCTTCCCAGTTGTCACTGCACAAGGTTGACAGGTCCAGACGAGGCACTTCTGATATGAAAGTGTCTTCCTGGCCATCTATTTCTTGGTTCCTCTGTAATTTGACTTCAGGAACGCCGGGATGTTCCTGGATCTTCATACTTGAGCTCTGCAACACATCCCCCCAAAGAACAAAAACTTTTTTGCAAAATTCAGAAAAAAACAGGAAGTACAGATGTAAATAATCACACATGCACAAAAACCAGCCCTTTTCCTTTCTATTAGACAAACTGAAAAATGGGAGCCTTTTAGTATCCGGTCTTTTTCCCCAATTACTCCCTTCAATGCTCATGGATCACTTACACTAGTTAAAAAATAAAAAAAAATAAAACTTTTTGAAACAGAATAAGGAGCTCAGAAGTTGCTTCTCTCCAAGTAACTAAGCGATTGGTAGAGTTTATACTTGAACGGCTTGAAAAGGCAAAGCAATGAGAACAAAGACTGCATTTTCCCTTAAAGTTCTGACTTCCCCCCCAAAAAATGCATCACCTAAGAGGCTGCTGTTGCTAAGGCTACAGCGTGCGACAAAATCTCTCTTGGAAATTGAGGATACTCCTGTCTTCCTTCTTCCCTGGAGGAAGAGGAGTTTTCTTGCTGCAGACGGCAGCAGAATGGAAGGTACGCAAAGGCTCTCCAGCAAGCTGTGCTGCGGTATAGCTCTCCGAATGAATGCCAGCAGAGTTGGTCTGGCTTGGCTTGCACGTCCTTGGCTTCCTGTGGTTGTTTTCTAGTTGGGTGTGGGGAAAGCAGGCCTATTTATGGAGGAGCTCTGGGATATTACAATCCGCTGTTGCGCAAACTGAAATCATAACGGGCTTTTGGCATTTAATAACTGGAAGGGGTAGGAGCCTGCAGAGTAAGCCACAGACCAGGAATGCTTTCCGTTCCAACAAATCTTCATCACTCTCTTACACTCTCTCTCAATCCCCAAGCTAAAAACTGCTGAGGAGATGATTTATAATGTACACTTGAAGAAAGAAACGAAAGCGTTTTGCACCATGCCCACTCACCAGATACCTGATATGTCCTGTGTGTCTGGACAGATTAAACCCTCTGCCCGCTTGTTCCTGGCTTTGTACACTTATCCTGTCTGACTTTATGTTTTGGGCACCAGAGCACGCGGTTTTCATTTGCAAAATGCAGAGAAATTTAATGCAAAGGGAGTATCAGAGGAACGTGCCTGATGTAGGTGTACATATAAGGTCTTTACTTGTAACTTGGGGAGAAAAGAGACAGGGAAGGAAAAACGGCAAGAGAGACTTAAGAGACTCCTGAAATACAATTAGAAAGGGCAGAAATACTAGGGGAAGAGTTAAAAGCAAGTTAACAGACACTATTGTAAAAACATGAACGGCTCACAAAGGTACCAGCCGATTTTTAACTCTGATTTCTTTCTTTAGAACAGTCAGAATCTATTCGTGCATCTGAAACTCTGTGTAACTCCCTGCAGTTCTTTTTTTCCAGTATCTGCAGTGGGAACTGTTAAAATTAATCCGCTCTGGAATTTGCCAATATGCTGAATTAAAAGGATGGTGGGAAATAAACTGCACTTTGCTCTGTTGATTGTAATGCAAATAATCAGCGCTGCTTTCAGATGGTTGCCTGGAAGTTCAAAAGCAAACAAAAACCAACAAATCTTGAGTAGCACAATTCTATATATATTTATTCAGCCGCTTTATGCTCCCTCGTCTATATATTTAGAAATGCAGCCTAAGTATAAAATCTTGTCCACCCATAGGGTTAGGGGTAAGGTTTCAGGACGTTGAAATAAAATCTAGATTTCACGTTAGACCCATAAAACTACACACGTTTAAAAAGGTTGCCAGAAGTTCAGCCGCCAGGAAAGTGACATACAATCAAACCACAGACGTTCTAGAAATCTAAGGAATAATATATTTGTACTGCAGGCTTCATTCTGCCAAACCAGCTCCAAGAAAAGAGATGAGAGAACAGATTCCACCCAGTATCCAAAATAGTCCCATTTTCTTTAGGGAAAACATATTTTCATACTGCTCACTAGAAGCTTGTGTTTAAAGAATGTTGCCTATAACCCCAGATGGAGTATTCAGTTATCAATAATCAGCCCATTCAAACTGTTAGTTATCATCACCTCTGATAACATATGATTTTGAGTTTTGCAAAAACCAAAAGCCACAAAAGCCACACTATCTTAGAGGATTCTCACCATAATTCAGTAAGCACCACCTAGGGAAAGCTATCACCTCTAGAAAGAAAGTAAAAGAACAGAAATAGGGAAGGCAAAGTTTTTATTGTGCAACCAACTTTCACCATTCACAGAATGTTACAGGGAACTAAAAGATGTTGTGTTCCAAAAAAACTAAAAAAAAAGATGCAGGAGAAACAGAGAAATCAACTGCTAGGACATTATTTGAAGGGACTAACGATCAAGTTTGCTAGAAGTAAAAGGAAGGAATATAAAATTGGTTTACTTGACCAAGATTAAAATACATATGTTAACCTTTAATGGACTTTTCATCACATCAGGACTGAAATTACAATGCTTTATCATCCAATTGTCCTTCTCATCCTCTACGTAGTATCCCATTTTGGGCTCCTGGATTGCCCCATTTTCTTCTGCCTGCATCAAGCAAGTCTTGCTTGATGATCAGTTGACTTTGGTCCATTTTCTAACTTTATTTGGTGCATTTTATGAATATATGTAGGATCTAAGGGATTTGGCAAAGGAGATTGCACTGAAATTGGTGTCTGCTTTGATTGTTTCATGCCTAAATATAGTAATAATTTCCTGGGAGGTGTTTCTGATTCTTCTCTCCATCCACTGATCTTAGTGAGGAATAGTGCCGTCTGGGCTCTCTTGGACCTTCCATATCATTCTCATCTTTCAATACCATGGCAAGCTCTTTATTAGCTCCCTTTTGAGCCAGAACCCAATTTAAACTATTCTTGCTTGTGCTAAGTTTAAACTCCCCAGTATCTGTTTGCCCTCATTTCTATCTATAATTCTGCTAATTCTTTATGTTCCTTTCTGCAGGACATTCTTAGTTCCTTATTCCAGAGTTATTGTCTCCCAATACCAGGCTTTCAGAGATCTGGCCATCTTTATGACATATAAAGGAGGTTTAAAGATCTTTATATTTAATTAGTGGCTAATGTAATCAGGGTGTTCCACTCTATCTGATAGTTTCAGGATAACACTTTCTTTAAATTATTATGGATGTATATATCAGTGGTGGGTTTCAAATTTTTTTACTACCGATTCTGTGGGTGTTGGCTTGGTGGGCGTGGCAGGGGAAAGATACTCTAAAATCTCCATTCCCTCCCCACTTCAGGGGAAGGATACTGCAAAATCCCCATTTCCTCCCGATTAGCTGGGACTCGGGAGGCAGAGAATAGATGGGGGTGGGGCCAGTCAGAGGTGGTATTTACCGGTTCTTCAAACTACTCAAAATTTCCGCTACCGGTTCTCCAGAACTGGTCAGAACCTGCTGAAACTCATCTCTGGTATATACAGTCAGTGCTATCGCAGGATGCTATTTTAAGTGTATTGCTTTCATGCTGGACGTTTTAATGTTAATTTTTGTTTATGGGACTCCGAGTTGTGGATTGATCCACAATTCATTATTATGTTATTGTTGTTCTATATTGTGCCTTGGTAAAGGGCTAAATAAATAAATAAATAAATAATAACATTATTGCTAGTTTGCTTAACAGGAGAAGGATGTTTCCTCTCAAGCTGAAACACTTGGCCTTTTAACTGTTATAAACCCACCCCATTGCACAACTTTTGATTTCCTTTTTTCTAAACTTAACATATATGTAAGCATTTGCTGCTCTACAAAATCAAGCATAAAAGAGATAAACATATTGCAACTTTTTTTAAAAAAAAATCAGTCATTCTTCTTGAATATCATACCTTTATCCCAGAGGTCTTCAAACTTGGCATCTTTAAGACTTGTAGACTTCAACTCCCAGAATTCTCCAGCCAGAATTCTGAGAGTTGAAGTCCACAAGTCTTAAAGCTGCCAAGTTTGAGGACCTCTGCTTTATCCAAATCATGTAAAGCTAAGCAAACATAGCAATTAAAAACAAAATTTCAGAGTCAACGACAACATGTCCTGTTCCCTCTAACCCTACTCTGCTGTGAAGGAAGAACATGACAGCTAAAGGAACATTTGAAGAACAGGTTTTGTCATAGGGTATAAATGAACTTCTCTTTTCTCCTCAAGACACACTGTACCAGGTCATTAATCTCCACTATGCTGTCACGGCTGTAATTTGAAACTACGAAGAATCTTTCCAAGCCAGGCGATAAAATCAGATCAAGAGTGGTCTAGCTAACATCTAGACACTAGGATCTGCCATTAATAAAAACTTGGATAGATCAATTGAGAATGTACAGTCAGAACATTTTGAATCAAATATTTCTAAGGCAAAATCCAAAAGCTATAGTGCACACTCAATCAAACTTATGAGCACTGATAAATATTAAATCCAACTGGGATCCACCTCAGATTTTTATACAAAACGTTATTCCTTAGTAAATCTTGGTGCATTTTTGTTTCTGATGTCATTTAACAAGGATTTTTGTTGATGTTGTTTAATAAAAGGGGATCCCTGTCTTTTTTTAATCCTACAGGGTTGGTTATGGAAGATTATTTTTCATTCCCGCCGCTGCCGCCGATTCACCGATTCCCCCGTCGAATCCCCTCCGCTGACACCAACCACTGATTCCAAGCCCTGTCGGATCCCCTCTTAACCTCATCTTGAGAAGCTTTTTCTCCAGTAATATTGTACTGCAAACTAGGGCAGACAAAACCTTTGCTAGATTCAAAGAAGCTGCATTCCAAACATATATGGATGGTTCTCTGAACAAATGTATTTTTATTTTTTGCTTCTGATGCCACTGTTCAAGCATGATGACATGCCTATCTGTGGTATCACCCTTCTCTATGCTTGTAAGAACAGAGGACAGAGTGGGAAGCTTATAGGAAAGCCAAGAATCTCCAGTGCTGAGAAATGATCTGGTCCTGCCAACAAATAAGGGGACATAGCATAGTCACACTAAACAGCATCTTCAGGTTGTCTATGGAGATTCTCAATCATCCAGGTCATGGTTTTCCCAAAGATGCTTTTTTCCCAGAAGGCAATTGGACTTCTTTGTTTATCCACTGAAAACCTTTGGGACAATCATGACCTGGATGACTGAGAATCTCTACAGACTTCCATTGAAAACATTTCACTTCTCATCCAAGATTAACCGAGGAAGCTTATTGATTGAGAAGTGAAAGATGAAAGTGTGCCAGTGTGTTCACAGAAAAAAAAATGACAATAAAAGTTATCACTAATTTTCTCCAGGTACACCTACAATCAGTCAGCCGCTATCCTTTCCATTAACTTGCCGAAAAAGCAATATTTACAACTGCCTGTAACTATCTATATCTTTAAGTTTATATGTTTTTTAAGAAATTACCTCACTGCCTCTTTCAAGTCGTAATTCCTTTAAGAAGAAGACACCAATGAGACTCCAAACCAGTCATAATTTTCCTACTAAATCTTACTAGTCATAGTTACACCCCAGTTCCCTACTTACTGGCAAATGTTTTTCTGGCATTATACTATTCTTTTTAACACTGTTAAAAGTTAAAGGTACGAGTATAAAGTAGTTTATTGATCAATATTAAAATTAGTCATTTATTTGCAATGTTCTGAAAACTCTTTATAGACTTTTTGCTGACACCAAGATTGAAAAGTTTATACTTTATGGATTTGCTTATAACTAAGGGATGAGATACAAAATGAAATCTGTTTGTAACCCTATGGGATGAAGAGTTATTAAAATTGTCCCTATTTGTAATAACGGTTAGAATTCATTTCTTTATTTCTTTTCTTTTTCTTTAACATATTCTTTCTTTTCTTCTTGTACTTTTTATTTCTTACTATTCTTTTTGCTTTAAGTTTCATTTGTATTAGCTGTTACTCTGAAATAAAAATCCTTAACCAAATAAGTAAAACTATCTGGATAGAATCTTAACATTTCTTGATTATGTATTACCCAAAACACGTAATTTTAGGGTAAATGTTATTGGGCAAAGCAACCAAAAGAGGTGCATTAAAACAGGTGGGAAGACAAAATACCTCTCTTTGAATCATTAAAGCACCCATGTCTTTTGCCAAGTACTAGAGCAGGGATGGCTAACCTTTTCTGGACCGAGTGCCCGAAGCGCGTGCGTGCATGAATGCGGGAGACGTAAGCGCATGCGCAACAGAGATGAATTGGGGCAACGGCCCGCGTGCCACCTCTGGCACCTGTGCCATAGGTTCGCCATCACGGCACTAGAGGCTCTGCATCTTTTTAGAATGCTTTGGACATTCCAGATTGTTTATCTTTCCTGGCAATGAAAACTCGCAAGAAAATACAAAGATTAGACATAGCAATCAATGATCCAAGAAACCTTTCCAGTAAAAGCATTTATTGAATGTCTCTAGCATTCTGCAATCATGAAAGAGAAGAGAATCCCTAGAAACCATATTTATTTATGCCTATGTAAACACTCAGTCAACCTTGGCTGATTTCAAAAAGCAAGGCTGTACAGCTTAGTGAGAAATTGCCAAGAAATCCAAGGACTGCAGACTAGACTGGGAAGTCAGAAAAGCATTCCAGAAGAAACAGTTTACTGTTGCCTAGAAATCTACATGAGGTGTTCATGAATTTATCACAGATAAACTCAACTCAAAGGGGACAAGGCTATATTTAACTATGGATTTGGCCATGGAATTAAAAACATTAGGTAGAGCTGTATTCTTGCTAAATATACAGTATCTTTACCTAACCCTCCAATTGTAGCTATTCAACAGGGACCCATTTACATGGCCGCCCTGCGTAGAGGACATTTTTGGAAGGGGAAGAATACAAACACTCAGATCACAAATGTCTTTCTCCTATTGTATAATATAGACCCTCCCTGGCATACTGCAATCTCATTGGATCAAAACATTGTTCCAACAAAAACAGTGTTCCAATTTAACACAGCCTAGTTATGCTTGTTTTACAAGCTATTATAAGCAGGCCATAATTCCATATAACCAAGACCAACGGAATGTGAATTTAGCCACAGACTTCAGCTTTCTAAGATTTTTTTTTTTAAAAAAAAACTTTGCTAAAATATATATTTTCATGATATGCTTTAAGACGGTGTGTGTGTGTGTGTGTGTGTGTGTGTGTGTGTGTCCCCAACCCCCGGTCTGTGGACTGACACAAGTCCACTGCATGCCAGAAACCGGACCATGCAAACAAGCATAGCCTCATCCGCAGGATGCAGGTAGTACATGAAACCACACCCCCTCTGGTCTGCGAAAAACCTTTCTCCATGGAACCAGTCCCTGGTTCCCCAAAGGTTGGGAGCCACTGCTTTAAGAGGCAAAGGCAAAATCTCCTAAGTTCAGAGAAGATGTTTAAAAAGATTTTTGACATCCATAAGGCAAAAATAACCAGCAAGATTCCTGTCCCTCTCTCAAGGATTGTGGCTGTAAAATGAATTATGCAAAATAAAACCATCCAATGCAAATTGGCAAGATAAAATAGTCTCTTTATGTTTGCATGGCCAGCCGATTTGTTATTTCCTATTTGCTGTCTTGTCTGTCTTAAACCAGCTTCTTTGAAAAAAGATAACATCCTGAAGCATCTCTATCTCTAGTTATCTGCATCTGAGAAAATAATACGCTAAAGATCATTTCTATAAAGAAAGGAATGATCATGACAGAAAAGGAAAACAGAATTGACAGGGAACTGTGACTCTACATATGGGTCTGCCCTCTCTTAACCTCTCATTCCCAAATGGAAGAAATAAATTTCAGTTCAGAAGATAAACTATTGAGGGAAGAGAAATATATCCATCAAGATTAGAGAAAAATGTATTGAAAAGGTCAAAAATTAGTGAACAGTACTAATAATAATATTTCTGTGCTTCCGACACAGAAGCATTACTATTACTACTGTTCACTAATTTGCTGGTGACATCACCGTTGCACAGGTAGGGACTCTTTCCACACTCTTGTGAAGTTGCCCATCGAAGTAGTACCCACTAATCCATCAGTCCCCAACCTTTTTGGCTTGGCGGCCCAGCGCGCGGAAGAGAAGAGATAGTTTTGTGTGAATGGTAGGCACGCATGTGAGAACATGCTCAAATGGAGCTTCACGCGTGAATGTGAGTGCCTGCTGCTTGTGCAAGTGGACCTGTGCTCGCTTGCCCAGTTCCACTTGCGTGGCCCAGTTCCAAATGGGCTGCAGTCCATTAGTGGGCCATGGACTCGGGGTTGGGGACCACTGCATTAATCTACTTGCGGTCGCCTGCTTTCAAACTGTTGGATTGGTGGAATCTGGGAGCGTGGAATGGGAACTCACTCCGTTCTGTAGCAGCAACGGGTTCCGAACGTGAGACTACCAATCATCAGGTTTAATCTCTCTCTGCCAAGAACTAAGTAAGAGACTTTGAACAATCTTCTTTTAAACTTTACCCTCCCTCCCGGCTCCCAATTTCCAGCAAGATTTTAACTGTATAGTTTTACTTCTACAGCTGGGGTAGAAATATGACTAAAAGTAAAGGGGACTCCAGGAGTGGACTCAAGGCCAAGGTCTTCCAAAAATCTGTTCTCCAATTTCCAAGTATGGTCAGCTAAACTGGTTCATGACGATGTCTAGATCAATGGTCTTCTTAAATGCTACTTACAGTATTTTCCAAGGAAGCTTCTTATATATAATAATACTGTACTACCCTGTTTCCCCCAAAATAAGACATCCCCTGATAATAAGCCCAATCAGGCTTTTGAGCACATGGCAATAAGGCCAAGCACTTATTTCAGGGTTCAAAAAAAAATACAAGACAGGGTCTTATTTTCGGGGAAACACAGTAAATACAATAATACTGTACAAAAATAAATTCAAAAATATTCAAATATTTAATTTTGATGAACTAAAATTCATTTAAAATCATGTATAAAAGATGTCTGCATATCATTAAATGATTTTAATTAATATCAAAATTAAAGTTCAGAATCATCTGTGCTTGGAAATCTATAAACTCAATAAATATAGTATGTTAATAATCAAAGGTACTTTAATCTGGCATATAAAAACCAAAACCTACGATATCCGAATGTTTCTAACAAAGGTAGCTCTAATTAGATTCCACATTCTGATTACTTTCACTTAGTGGTGGAATTCAATTTTTTTTACTACCGGTTCTGTGGGCATGGCTTGGTGGGCGTAGTGTGGCTTAGTAGGCGTGGCAGGGGAAGGATACTGCAAAATCCTCATTCCCTCCTGACTCCTGGGGGAAGGATATTGCAAAATCTCCATTCCAGCCCCACTCTGGGGCCAGCCAGAGGTGGCAAATGCCGGGTCTCCGAACTACTCAAAATTTCCGCTACCGGTTCTCCAGAACCTGTCAGAACCTGTGGAATAGCATCCCTGCTTTCACTTCATTATTAATGTTGTAAAGTAATAATAAAAACAAAATAACTACATTAATAATAGTGAAAGTAATGTTATTATTTTGCAAATGGTACAAATGTACACAAACCTGATTGTGCATTAACAAATCATCCTCATTTCTGCCGTCTTTGCTACAAAAAAGAAGAAAGAAGTATTAAGGAACATGTCATAAAGGAAAACAAACCATTTTTTAATAATCATAAAACCACATTTTTTAAAAAAAGCGGATGAAAATAAAAGTTAAAATTTCAAGTCATGCTTTATAATTCCTTCTTCGAGACTTGCATAGAAAAGCCAAGAGATCAATCTACTATTAACAGGCGTGAAATACATAAAATAAGACATTCATTATAACGTTAAAAGATTATAATGTTAAAACACCTTTACCTGAAAAATAGCAGCATTTTCAAAGGAGGACATATGCAGGCATAGGAAATCTAAAGTTAGTTTCCCCTCACTGAAAACTGGTTTCAAAGTATAATTGGATTCTCTAGTATAGACCTTAACTGACATTTAAAAATCTTTAATTTTAAAACAGAGTAAATTCTAAGCAAGTCACCTTTCTTCAGAAAACACTTCCATTTCATCTGGTCCTCTTCCATCTACATGTCTCAAGGAACCAAAAGTTTCCATCGCCTGTCAAACATTAAGACAATTGCTAAGAATGATCATTTTAAACATCACCTCTCAAAACCTCCAAACGTAATTGGGATTTCAACTCTCAATGCACCTATTCAACGGAAGGACACAGTTGTGTTTCATCCATAATGAGAAATGCTATTTATGATATAGACCAGTGGTGGTGAACCTTTTACTCACCGAAGACCAGCTGGGTCCCCTGAATTGAGCGCACGTGCACCGGAGGCCCGGACACCAGTTGGGGCATGCGCACATGCACAGCTGCAGGTGAGTTGGGTGACAGCTTGCGTGCCAGGAAAAATGGCTCTGTGTGCCACTTCCAGCATGCATGCCATAGGTTCGCCATCACGGATATAGCCAGTGAAATAGAAAGGGACTTCGAAGAACACACTAGCAAGCGGTCTACTGATTCAGAGATGGTTGATTGTCACACTGCTGTGCAACCATGAATTATAGTTTACTACTCCTACGGAAGGGAATTCTGGGGAATTAGAATGAGTGGGAATCCATAGAAAGGTTGAATTCCAAATGTGCAATATTTATAAGCCTCCTCTGAAATACCTCTGTTATCTCAAGTGTTTCTGCTCCAAGGGCCCACCCCAATATAGGTTGTCCTTGACTTATGACCACAATTGAGCCCAAAATTTCTGTTGCTAAGTGGAACACTGTTACCTTCCCACCAAAGGTGGTCCCTATTTTTCTACTTGCATTTTTCTACTTAATGGTACACTCAAATGGCTTGCAGAACCATTCAGCAAGAATCATCATCAAAACCACTTGAAATTCAGATGATGCTATGACTTGGGCATCCATGGATCATACAGAGTCACCCAAGTCACAATGTGACAATTGAAAGCTTGGCTTTCATAATTTTGCTTACCAAAGAACTCTCTTGGTTGTCGTTAAACTCAGTTAGTTTGGTGCTGGATTTCTGACGTTTTGGTTTACTTCTTTCGCCAATGTAACCAGAACTGTTCTCATGGCATTTTTCCACTTCCTGAGCACTTAAGATACATTCTTCAATGCTACTGAAACCAGAAGGAATATTCTCTTTATTGATGACCTCCCTACATAGGAAGAGGGGGGGAAAAAGATGGCAGAGTTCCAGATCATTTCTAGTTACTCATAAACGCAACCCAAGCAATTATTTTAACTTTGCAAGTTCTAGAAGGATATTTACACTCTACACTTCCTCAGTTATCTTATAGCCTTACATCTCCTGGCATTTTCTTCAAAGAATTTGTAGAGTCTATCTCTAGTGCATAACAAGGGGTCCAAGGGACAGATCTGGAATTTTGAAAATCTACTATAAGCCTTCATAAAATCCCTATCATGGCTGAAACGTGCTTGTTCACAAATAACAAGCTGTCGAGACTATTCTCTGCCAGGTCTTCAAGTCACCTAATAATGGGCATATGGCAATGTTTTTAACTTGACAGCTTTAAGATTAGGCCTTGGTGGCTAGGGAATTCTGGGAGTTGAAGTCCACCCATCTTAAAACTGCCAAGGCTGAGAAATACTAGCATATACCAAAAATTAATATGAGGTTAGAGCCTGGCACTTTATTCTATGATGTGTAAGCTTTTTATTTATTGGTTAAAAAAAGTTTAAACATTAAAGTTGACTGGATACTACCTGGAATTTCATAGGAAAAGGTTGACATATAAATGAGTGAAGAATATGACTTCCAAGAGGAAATATAGTATTGGGAATACATGGCAGGATGCAGGATTTCCCATACAGTCCTACTGTCAAGTACTTAACGGAAAATGAGTCCAGTCTAATGAAAGGTATTCTAAGCAACTTTCATTTCTGATTATGTAGATCTAGATCAGGGTGTCAAACTCAAGGCCGCAGGCTGGATTTGACCCGCGGGGCTGCCCTGGGAACAGCAAAGGACCCGCCCACAGTGCCTCTGCCAGTGCAAATGTGCAGCTCTTGCGAGCTCCGTTTTCAACTGTGACAGCCTCCTGCAACCTTCTGCCAGCGAAAATGGAGCTTGGGAGGGCTTCATGGTCCACTACAGGTGCCCCCGACATGAGTGACGTTGAGCTGGCCCTGCCCACCCTGCCCACGCCCACCCCAGCCCCCCATGGTCAAACACAACCCTGATGCGGCCCTCAATGAAGTCAAGTTTGATACCTCTGGTCTAGACAAACCTGACAGGGAAATTAGAATATTTGGAAAAATTTCCATCAAACAGATATATATATATAAAGTTCTAAGATTTATATTTCTTCTTTTCTGTCAAGGATGCAGCAGAAATAGAGGAACAGCTTCACAGGAAATTCTCTCACAAACTTTTCTAATTTGTAAGGATTATCATTCAAACACATAAATTGTTTATGGAATCAGACATCATATATGCCTGGATCTAATTCAGCTGCAGCGTTCATTAAAAACTTAGCCACAAACCTCCTTGGTTGTAAACTTGTAATTTTTTATTAAAAAACAACAACACCTGCTACTCAAGTAGTCAGTTAAAGTTTGGGTAACTTTTAAAATTATGAGTTATTTCACAAGATAAAAAGTTTCATGTGTATACAGAAGTTTATTCGTTTAAACTGAAAAACAGACAGAAAACATAGTCTGCAAAATGTTCACTTTCTGCCAAAACTTTTCAATAAAAAATTTAAAACTGAGGAGGAAGAACTGTGATGATTCCAACCTCTTTCCACAATTATCTAGGAATATTAGCTCTGGAATGCATTGGGCTCCTTGGCAACCTAAGAGAGGGGAACCAGTTTTTTGCAATTATCTGACAATTGCTATCAGACAGCTCTAAAACTGTCTCATAGGAGAAGAAGAAGAAAAGAGAAGAAAAAAGTATACCTATCTCTGGTCTTTCGGCCTTCATCTTGTTCTTTATGATGTCGCCTGCGCTGCCCAGTAGATACACCAGAAGACGTTAATGATGTTCCAGATTCAGATTCTTCAGAACTCTGACCACTAGAGCCATGAACATCAAAAAGATGTTGTTCGACAGCTGTCCGGATAGTCTTTTCTAAGAATCTGTCAAAGCAAGATAAGTTATACACACATACATATACACAGGTATTAATATATTTTTTAAAAAAGTAATAATGAATTCCCAATGTGAACCATTCAATATTTTTACACATTTATAAGCGCATGCCTCAAAAATGATTTGCAAGAAGTGTTTCAAATATGGCTTAACTTCTACTATTAAGTTCTACTTATTCATTAAAAGAGACTAACTTTTTTCAGGCTTCTGCATAAAAATGGAAAGGAAGGGACTTCTGCTTTAAGAGTTGTCCTAGTTTGAATGAAAGGATTCCATAAAACAGCAGCATTTGTTTTTTCCTGGTGAATTTATTATTTTGCTTGGTTAGATTCACTAAGTCATTTGTCCCATAAAAACATTTTTGCATTTTTGTATCTCTTAATGTTAAGAGATTAAGAAGGTTATTTATCCAAATATGTTTGCTAGCATTTTCTATCCAGTTTGATTAAAATATAAATATGGGATAAATAGGATAAATATATAAATATTTATATATTATCCTATATAAATATAGGATAAATATGTTTGATAAAAAAAAATAGATGAAGAAAAGAGGACAGGAAAAAACCCCATGACAAATAAAAACATAAAGGAGAATTTTTTTTTAGAGATATGAGATCTGTTCCATAGCATCCAATTCAAAATTGGATGTTGCTTATAATGTCTTTCATTTTGCTGTGTCCTTGATAAAAGAATTTACACAATAAAGTATGTTTTTCAGACACCTGAGATACTACCTTCCCCTCACCAATATTTTTTTTATTAGATTTGTACTCTTTCTCTTTCTTTTAGAGTGAACAGCTGTGGGTTGTATTTGTATGAAGAGTGCACAGACCTGATTAATAAACATATTTGTAGTCATTTTTTCTGTGAGGCACAAGGCAGAGCTCCCTTTCAGAGTCCCATGTTTATTTGTGTAGGGTTAGTTGGAAAAAGAGACACTGTCTCAAGTTCATCCAGAAAAATGTATGGCTAAGTGGAGAGCAAAACCTAGTTCTTTTGAATCCACTCTTCAGGGAATCATGCAGCCTGATCTTCTGACTTTCCTTGCTTATATAGGAAATTTCTGTGGCTCACTTATTTTCTTTATTAATGCTATATTGATCATTGCTACTGTAAACATATGATTCTCTGCCTTCATTCAAATAGTCTACCTTTTCCTTCTTTACCTACTGTGTGTTTTTAATATATAGCTCCCTCTACTGATAAAAAAAAATCTTGTAGCATTTACTTAAAAAAAAATACTGTGGCAGACCAACAAGTGAAAAAGAGAGGAGAGGTCTTTTGTTGAGGGAATTTTGGGGGGTGGGGACAGTGTCTCTGTTTTTGTTTCTAAGGGTAAAAGGGTTCCTTGAGTTTTTGAGTATTTAAAGAGGAAAAAAAGTCCAGGGGGGAAAAAACTTTTTGGTCTTTTGTTTCTTTTGAGAGATGCAGTTGAAAGAAGTCTGAAGACTGACATGCAGTATTTCTGAATCTAGGCAACCTGGGACTGGGCCTTACCTGAGTGGAAGAAATCTTGAATGTACAATAAATATGAAATAAGATCACTTAACTGGCTTGAAACAAGATTGGGTCAAATTGGCTCGAAGTACACCCTTCCTTAAGAAGTCAAGCAACTATCAAACTGGCTACAGGTAGGCCTCAATTTACGACCACAACTGAGCCCAAAATTTCCTAAGCAAGACCGTTGTTATGTGAGTTCTGCCTCACTTTATGACCTTTTTTACCACAATTATTAAGTGAAACACTGCTGTTGTTAAATTAGTAATGTGGTTGTCAAGTGAATTTCGCTTCCAAATTGACTCCGCTTGTTCAGATGGACCCAACAGGTGATCACATGATCCCGGGACCCTGCAACTGTCATATATACATGCCAGTTGCCAAGTGTCCAAATTCTGATCACATGACCATGGGGATGTTGCAATAGTTTTAAGTATGAAAAATGACTGTAATCACTTTTATCAGTGCTGTTGTAACTTTAAATTGTCACTAACTGAATGGTTATAAGTCAAGCACTACTTGTACATATTATCCAATAGGCAGGTTATTACATTCAATTAGAACAGGGGTGTCAAACTCAAGGCCCAGGGGCCAGATCTGGGCCGCAGGGTAGCTTAGATCTGGCTTGGGGGTTGCCCTGGAAACAGCGGACCAGCCTGCAGTGCCCCTGCCAGGGAAAACGGAGCTCAGGAGGGCTGTGTGCAGCCCTGCTGAGTTCCATTTTTGCTGGCAGAGGGTTGCAGGAGGCCATCGCAGCCGAAACGGAGCTTAGGAGCCCGTTTTCGCTGGCAGAGCGCTCAGGCCACCACAGGCGCCCCCGACACGAGTGACATCGAGCTGGCCACACCTACCCTGGCCACGCCCACCCCAGCTCCCCAAGGTAAAACACAACCCTGATGAGGCCCTCAAGGAAATTGAGTTTGATACCCCTGAATTAGGAACATCCACATCATCTAGCATTTTTTAGAAAGGTCATTGCAGCACCCTGTTTAGGAATCATTAACAGACACCCAAGATATGTTATTTCCATTAGGTGGCTGTACACAAAAAGGTTTCAACTGAAACCATTCAAACTACACAATCACAATCTTATCTTCTATTATGTCTACCACTAGTGCTATCAAGGATGTGGTACATCTGCCACACGCACACACAAATCACAAGATACTTAATGAGGAAAAACAAGAACTAAAGAACACAGTGATAAAAGAGAAAGAATTACTTACTCTCCAGTAGCAGGGATGTTGTTGCCTTGTGATACGTGAGCACTGTATAAAAAGAGGTTAAAAAAGTGAGGTGTAATTTTTGAAGAACATTAAGAAAAAGTGGTTCAAAAGTTCATTTAAGTGCTAAGTGACATATTTAAAGACAGTTTTACTGAAAATTAAAAGCAATTGGTTCCAAACTATAGCACATATGCAGTGGAATGTGTTCAGATGTTCAAATATATTATTCAATTCTTTAAGATGAGTAACAGAATCCTTTTTTTAAAAAATATTACAGATTTGTATTGAAACAACCATGATGACAGAACATATATGAGAATTATGACTTTCTGGGAATAATGATCTCCCCACTGTTTCCAGCAAAGCGATTGGCAACAATCCCAAACCTCTGAGACAGACCTAAGTATATATACAGCAGATGAAGGTATGCTGGCCAGTCTCACATATTTTGCACAAAATTTAAACACACACTTTTAAAACCTGTCAGTAATATATGAAGTAATTGCTTTAAAAGAGAAGAACATAAATCAAAGTCAATGTAGCTAAGTCCATTTTATTTGATCAGCAAGGGTTTTCCCTTAAAGAAAGCCAAAGAGGAAAAATCATGAGGTGAAAAATATATTTGGAACTATTTTCAATTCTTCTGCCTCACACAGACTCATTAGTTATTGTCAAGCCTGTGAAATGTTACTGCAAATAGTCAGGGCAACATGTCATAATTTCTCCCTGATCTAATGATGGAAGCAGATGTGCTAGGAAGCTTTGAGGATTCATGTCCAAAGATCATGTCTTTAAACCGTAAGGCAAGATTATATTTGAGACTGGGACAGTCTCAAGACCCTTTCCTTGCCATCCTTTGCTGACTCAGCTTTGCTGATAAGAGTGTCATATGACATCCTTCTGAGGGCAATATTCAATAAATGATGTTTCTCTGAAGCATAAAAAAGTTTATTATATTGATTTTATTAGTTACGATAGTCGGCTAATTTACCTGCCTACAAATCAAGGCAACATCACTAAAGGAAAGACTAAGTGCATGCTATACTGTGAAATGTGTAACCCATACCATGCCAAGAGAACAAGAAATCACCAGTCACAATTCTGTTACAGGTAGTCTTTGACATACAACAGTTCATTTAGAGACATCGCTACTTAAGGAACAAGTTACATAAAATGTTTATTACATATTATATAATATGTTATACCGTATTTTTCAGACTATAAGACACACCGGTGTATAAGACGCACCGAGATTTCGAAGAGGTAAGCAGGAAAAAAAAAGTTTTTGCCCTCCCCGGCCCCCAGGAACACGCTGCAGGCCTTCCAAAGCCTCTGCGTACCCCCTTTTTTACGAAAAACGGGATGCGCGGGGCGTGGCTTTAGGAGGCCAAAAATGGCTCTATTTTGTGTATAAGACGCACCAACATTTCCACCCTCTTTTAGGGGGGAAAAGTGTGTCTTATACTCTGAAAAATACAGTAATTACATAATAAAAGTACTTAGGTTACAAATTTACTGTATATCTGTAAGTAAGACCAGAATGCAATGAGAGTGAAGTAGGTATAAGAGCCATAATTTTATATTTCAGTCAAAAAGATGAAAGCATTGTAGCAATGACTATGAGATATCAGAGGTCTCTTAAGTGCAGGTAATCCTTGACTTACAACAGTTCATTTAATGACCGTTCAGTTACAATGGCACAGGAAAAAAGTGACTTATGACCGTTTTTCAGTTACAACCTCTGCAGCCTCCCCACGATCACATGATCAAAATTCGGATGCTTGGCAACCGATTCATATTTATGACCGTTGCTGTGTCCCAAGGTCATGTAATCACTTTTTGTGACCTTCTGACAAGCAAAGTCAATGGGGAAGCCAGATTCACTTAACAACAGGGTTTCTAACTTATCAACTGCAATGATTCACTTAACAATGGAGGAAAGAAAAGTCATAAAATGGGGCAAAACTCACTTAACAAATGTCTCATTTAACAACAGAAATTTTGGGCTCTATTGTGATTGTAAATCAAGGACTTCCTCTATTTGAAACATACTGATTTTTAATAGGTTCTGAATTCTTGCTAATATTTTCTAGTAAAATGCATATCTTGCTTTGTCCAGCAGACATAGGTTTGTTTTAAGTAAGTAGAATGATAAACACAAGATATAGGTTATTTTCTTCTAAAGATGAGTAAATAACCTTTTTCCCCTCAGATGCCGAAAGCGCGCATGCGCGTACAATTGCGTGTGTGCGTGTCCACACCCATAATACAATGCCCTCCGTGCACCCCACCCCTGCACATGCATGTGCGCCCCCCGGTGCTCCCCCACCCCCTGCGCATGTGCGTATGACCCCCTGTGCTACCCCCACCCCCCGTTTTGGGCCTAGCAGGCCTCCCTGAAGCCTCCTGGAACATAAAACTGGGTGCAGGAGGACCTGATGCCCCCCGCGCATGTACGCACGACCCCCCCATCCATATGCGCGCAGCCCCCTGCCCATACCCGCATGTCTCCTGTATGTGCAGCAGAGACCTGAAAATCAGCTGGCTGGCGGGAGGCACACGCACATGCACGGTGGAGCTGACCTAGGGCGATGGTTCGCGTGCCAGGTGCCATAGGTTTACCATCACGGATCTATCCTATGTAATTTATAATCTGTCCTATCTCCATTGCTCTTAAATGCATTTTTTTCCGTTTTGTGCAAAAAGTTCATAACAGGACACCAGATCTGGCTCCAAGATGGAATGTATAGGTAAAGAAACTGATGGAGTACAGATTTCAAGTAAAGGATAAGGAGGGAAAACTTAGGTATGAGATTTGCCCTATCTTTAGGCTCAGGCAGAGTGAGGCGGTCAACTTAGGCTACGTATGTTGGGAGGCCTTAGGTGGCCTCCCTTCCTTGGAATCAGTGCAACCTGTTGGGTCATTGCCAAGTTCTCAGAAGATTCAATGGTCAGTCCAGTTGTCTTTTGTTATGTAATGTTTTATAAATGGGCATGGGGGCAGCTTCATGCAACAAGATGTCTCAGGTCAGTACTGTGTTCCTCTTATACAATTTCTCCAGTCTAAAATGCATCCTTCTGAAAGAGATTTTGTCAGGGAATTGCGCAGCTGGTGTCCAAATTAAGTCAGAGATCCAAACTTGTAGTTTTATATAAATATATTTTACACCTAAATATACACCAAGCAAAATTGTCAGGCAAACAGCAGCAGCATCAGGTAAATCACGGGTGTCGAACTTGCGCTGTCACATTGCCGTCATGTGACTTTCACAATGTTTTTTCCCTTCACGCAGATGGGGTGGGTGTGGCCTGCGTGTGACGCATCCGGCCCACCAGTTTGACACCCCTGAGGTAAATCACAGAGCATACACGACACACAGAAGAATAAAGGCAGGAAAGAAAGGGAAACTCCCCCTTCCCAGCCACAGCAACCAATCACAGTGCAGATTGCCTCACGCAGGAGCCAGTAGTCAACCAATCAACCATAACTATGTGTTCTGGCTCACTGCACAACCCCACTGCTCCAACTACTAAATTTAAATATCTTAACAAGCTTCATTTCAAAATAACCTGTTCCAGCAAGAAATAAACCTAGGGCTCATAATAGTAATGTCTTATGTAATTGACACACTATCTTTATGATGTACTCCCAAGATGGATTACTTTTAAAACAGTAAATATACAAAATGCAAAATAAGAAACAAGATTCAACCTTCTTCATAACATCTGAAACAGAGTAATAATGCTATGTACTGAGAGACCGGCAACAGATCGTCATTTTTCACCACTTTTTTTTTCTGTTTTGGATCCTTCACATGGTAAAGCTATTGGAAGGAGACATTTCCACAGAGTCCTTGCTAGAGTTGAAGGGTGCGGTTTAAATTGCATAATAAGTAAATAAACATTTCAGTGTGGCCTCAGAGAAACATACCTGATATCTGCTATCAAATGTATTATCATAGTGATAACCTTCTATCTGGTGGGCTAACACCAATGGCTACTATTCAATATTACTGTACTATCTATTACCTCTGGATAGGGGACAGTGTGTATCTGGATAACACCACGTGCAAAGGAACATGTTACTGAAATCACGTCTAGCTTTTGAATTTTTAGTTGGGACACTTGTCTGGGATCTAGCTAGCATTTTTCTTCATAAACAAGAAATGGTTGCATCAAAGGACTCTCCTCTATGTTATTTAAATAATTCCTTTGGCATTGGATGGTTTAATAAAAATTAACCTATTGCCAAATTCTACCTGTCCCATCTCCACAAAGCATCTGTATGAAGAACAACACTGAATACAACTTTTCTTCAGTCCCAACATTTTATCAGGGCAAGCAAAACATTTTTCCCTGGGCTCCGCCTGGATTAAATTCATAATCTATTGACACTTGACGTTCATATTCTGTTTTGAAATATGCCCTGTTTACCTAATCAATGTGGTGCCAGCTGATCACATGAAAGGCAAGGCACAGAACATTTTTCATACACAGATATTGAAGGTGCTTCTGGTAGACAGTTTCCACTGTTAGCCATAAGTAGAATTGTAACTCGTGCCAGCAGAGAGGGCCTGCTTTGGATTTTGTTGGTCAAAGAATTATGACAACTGGGATACAGAAGAAGAGCTTTCTCTGCTGCAGTACCTGCCCTTTTGAACATCTTACCCTCCAAGGTAAGATTTGCCCCCACCTTCCTATTCTGCCACAAGAGCCTGAAAACCTGACTTTGCTGGTTGGCCTGGGAATACAATGTTGGAGTATCACACTGGAGGTGGCTGCTGGATTGATGGCAGACTCCACCTGCCTTCCGGACTCACTGCTCTTCACCTGTCCATCTTTTTGTTATCATATTGATGTATTGTTGTGTTCTTTTTCACGGCTTGTTTTATTGCTCTAGTATTTTACTTTTGTTCAGTTTACACTCTTTTCATTTCTTTCTTTTTATTGTTGTAAGCCAGGGGTGTCACCCTGGCGGCTGCTGGCCGGATGCATCACACGCAGACCACGCCCACCCCAACTTCGTGAAGGGGAAAAACGTCACAATACATCACGACGGCAACATGACGCGGCGAGTTTGACACCCATGTTGTAAGCTGCCTAGAGTAGCCATAAAGGTAAAGGTTCCCGCCGCACATATGTGCTAGTCGTTCCCAGAGCGGTGCTCATCTTTGTTTCAAAGCCGAAGAGCCAGCGCTGTCTGAAGACGTCTCCGTGGTCATGTGGCCGGCATGACTAAACACCAAAGGTGCACAGAATGCTGTTACCTTCCCACCAAAGATGGTCCCTATTTTTCTACTTGCATTTTTTACGTGCTTTCGAACTGCTAGGTTGGCAGAAGCTGGGACAAGTAACGGGAGCTCACCCTGTTACGTGGCACTAAGGATTCGAACCGCTGAACTGCCAACCTTTCGATCGACAAGTTCAGCGTCTTAGCCCCGCGTCCCTTAGAGTAGCCCTAGAGATAGGCAAATAAATTTAAATTTAACAAATAAACTTCCCATGTTACATTGCAGTTTGCTGCGTCCATATCCCATTGTCTTCTGACTGTACCAGAATCCTTTAATACAGTAGTACTCTTCAGTCTTTAAGATGTAAAACAACTCCAACTAAGCGGACATTAATAAGGTTTTTTGCAGTGGTATCATTTCTTCTGTCATGTATTTTATTTTTTAATCATTTTTATTAGGTAAAAGTAGTACACTTCCCCAAATGTAGTATTGAACAGGATTAATAATGGAAACATAATCAGAGTTTTGTATTACTGCAATGTTTCTGAGGAGAGGTTTCCTGCCACTGTTTTTTCATGGTGATTAGTGATACTCAATTTTTTTTCTTCAAAGTTACCACGGCAGATATACAGAACTATATAAGCCATGATATCAATATATCCAAACTGAAAAAGCATGTAGTTTGGTACTTTATGTAAGTATCCAGAAAAATGTTTAAAGCATTTTAAACTGATGCTTAACACGGACAATCCTATCTATCATACTGCTCACTGAAAATGCTGTTATATGTGCTTCTCTGTAATGGTCTCACTTATCCTATTCAGCATGCCCATTATAAAATATCTCTGCAAAGATTGCATTTTGCAATTTTGGGATGGACTGTTATGACCTTCTCCAAAAGCATTTCCAAGCAATGCAGGGGATACCTAGGAGGATTAATCTTTAAAACTAATCTAACCCAGATACCATCTTGTCATAGAAGACTTTGCTGAGGATGTGCTTGTTCTTTGACTTAGTGACTTTCTTATTAACAATTTCAGTGTGTTGTTGGGCAAACTTTTTTTTTTTTTTTAAATTTGATTTATATGCTGCCCTTCTCCGGAGACTCAGGGTGGCTTACAGTGCGTTAAGCAATAGCCTTCATACTTTTGTATATTTTAAACAAAGTCAACTTATTGTCCCCACCAACTAACCTAGGAGCTGGAATGGTTTTGCTGGGGAAGACTGCAAGAAGCCAACCAAACAGTTGGCTAAGAAGGAGGCTTCAATCAGGTTAATTCCATAAACAACCAGGTATGGTGAAGCTGAGCACTTGACAGGAAGAGGAAAACATGAAACTAGGAGAGAAAATCTGCAGATTTGTGAAAAGTACGTACAGCTCAAATCTCTTAAACTTGCTGTCATCTTGCGATAAGAAATCGAAGAACGGGTGACTCTCTATTCTCAGTCTCAACTCGTGGAAGACTGAGTCGAATTGGGGAGCGCCCAGGCAGGAGTAGGCGTGGCCAAGAAAGTTTGACTCGGTCTCCAAGCAGAGAAGCAGAGCACTACTCATTCATGGATGACCTTCCCCGATACGCTGGAGAACTACAAGCAAATCTAAATCTAAAAGGAATCCCAAATGAGGCAAATTTGCAGCTGTACTGTACTTAATATGATGCAGGTTGTTTACTCGGCCTGTTTGGGTGGAGGACAAAGGTATGCAACAGGAAAACTTTCAAGCCCCTGTGCTCCTCAAAAACTCTGCAACATTTGCAGCACAGATTTTACAAGGAGAAATATATACACAATGTTCCCGCTAATTGGCAAGCTTGAGGCATTGTGAGGTCCTTGGAATCCGGACAAGTCTCTACGGCATCCACCCAGTATGTTACATAACTGTCTGCTCTCAATCAATGTACTTTGTGTACTGCATAAGTTGCAGCCCACATCCTTCATATGTTTACATTCACTGCTCTGTTGTTATATCACACAAATAAGTCTACAGTGAGTTGAATTTGGGCGTCAGGAAGTTCACAAAACAATAAGGGGAACAAAGGAAAAATAAACAGCTGACTGGCACTGTGGTTATCTGGGCTGCAAATGTCTACAAGACTACCAGGTGACAGGGAAAGCAACTTGCTTTTTGCTGCCATCTATTGGTCAGCTGGTTTTTGCAAGTCAGAACAGCAGCTCTAAACAAAACAGATGCTGGCACAAAAAATACCCAAGCCATTCCTCTTTAATTTTTGTAATGAGGTTATAAAGGCAAAGGCTGGAAATCACTTAAATATGAACATCTGCTTCTCATCACAAGAGCATAAAAGGGGTGAAGCAGGAGTGAAATCCAGCAGGTTCTGACAGGTTCTGGAGAACCGGTAGTGGAAATTTTGAGTAGTTCGAAGAACTGGCAAATGCCACCTCTGGCTGGCCCCAGAGTGGGGTGGGAATGGAGATTTTGCAATATCCTTCCCCCAGGAGTGGGAGGGAATGGAGATTTTGCAGTATCATCCCCTGCCATGCCCACCAAGCCATACCACGCCCACCAAGCCACGCCCACAGAACCGGTAGTAAAAAAATTGGATTTCACCACTGGGGTGAAGTATCAACCACTGGCCAGCCTTCATTCTTTCTTTCTGCCAAACTTATTCCTCCTAGCAATCTAGCCCAAAGCCACATATTTCTATTCTTAAACACTAAAAAGGGAGTGAAGTCAAATTAAATTAAGATATCTTTACACAGTCCTACAAGTTAGCAATAACAACAACAACCAGCATCAACCTTTCCCATTGTGGTCCAATCAATAAACCACTATGTAGAAATAATGGCTTATTGCAGGGCAAATGCAGTTTGCATTAGGGTGGATTTGATTTAAATCGAGTTGATTTAAATCATGATTTAAATCACTAGTAAAAAGGCTTGATTTAAATCAACTTGATTTAAATCATAATTTTTAAAGAGCAACTGTCATCTCTGCTATTCCTTTGACCCACTGTTGACTCACCGATAGTCCCAGTGTTGCAGAATATACAGCCTCATGCTACATAACTAAGCTCCATTTCATGCTGAATGAACTAAATTATTTATGTATCTTAAATAGAAAACTATCTTAAGATAGATTTTTACCCCAAAAGTTTTTTATTAAAATAAATTTGATAAAAATAAAAAAAATCCGATTTAAATAAAAAAGAATCTGATTTTGTTGATTTTTTTTTTTAAAAATCATTTATTTTTTATTTTATTTATTTATTTAATTTGATTTATATGCCGCCCTTCTCCGGAGACTCAGGGCGGCTTACAATGCGTTAAGCAATAGCCTTCATACTTTTGTATATTTATACAAAGTCAGCTTATTGCCCCCACAAACTGGGTCCTCAATTTACCTACCTTAGAAAGGATGGAAGGCTGGGTCAACCTTGAGCCTGGCGAGATTCGATCTTACTTTAATTGCAGACAGCTGGTGTTAAATTACAGAGCTCTGTCTGTTGAACTATCCAGGCTCCCTAAAAATCATTGATTTTTATCCACCCTGATTTGCATGTTGTGGGTGGATATCTATCTGTTGTAGATCTATACATTCTCTTAAGTCATTATCTAGCCATTGTTTTTGGGCGAAACCTTTGCAAATGGCTAGTAATTGTCCTCTGCAGCTTTTTGTTATGAATCAAGCCTCCAAACAGAATATAAATAAAAAATATATTCATAAATACCTCAGATAGAATGGTGATAAAGGCCTTTCATCCTCTTGGGAACTAAAAACAAAATAAAACATCCTTGTCATTAGCATGTTCATTTCTATTTCTTTTTTTGCAAGCTAATTGGTACAACACCAACCAGATCAGAAGAAAGGAGGAGAGCCCAAAGACGACCGTATGCTGATTTGTGATATTAAAGCCAACAGCTTGTTAAGAGAGAGGAGCAAATTAAATATTAAATTGTGTTCTTTAAGGTGGAACCACAAATACCTGCAATGGAAGAACGGATGCTGAAATTAATAAAGCTGGCACGGATAGCAAAAGCGACTGCTTTGATTAAAAAAAGAATATTTTTGTCTAACTTTGTTTCTACTTGGCAAACGCTTTTGAATTTTTAGCTTGAAACTGAAAGAAATAAAACTTTAACCTTGGGATTTTATGATTAGATTTGTTTATGATTACAGAAATACTGTGTGTTATGGTTTCTTCCAGTTCAGGGTCACTGTATATTATACTAGATGGGTAACTTTCCTCCATAAATCTCTCTCTTAAAAATTGCAATTCCATTGCAAGGAAAATTATAAATGCTACCACATGAAAAAACCCACTGAGATTAAAATGCTATTATTTAGCTGCTGACTGCATTCAGGTATGATTTTTCTTTTATCTCTGCTCCAGTAACTAAAATCACTTCTAAAGAGAGATGCTCCGTTTCATTTTTCCATCTCTACCTCCTATATCAATCTGCTAGAAGTAAAAAAAAAGAAACACAGATATTTTATGATGGACTATTTCCATTGTTGGCGATTCCTCTAGTCTTTGATGGATATGAGGTTTGCTGGTTTGTTCCTCTCAATGATTAGCCACAAGGACATCTTATCGCCCACACCAAAAACCTATTGAAATCAATGAGATTCCTGCTATATAAATGGCTTGTTAACAAGATGACTGCCTCTTCTGACAGAACTGTGAAAATGATCCAACACTTGCTACGAAAAAGTGAGTTTTAAGGAACAACTTAAAGCTGCTTTCCACAGGCCTTCCTAAAATGAGTTTCAGCATATGGCCAACAACAGAAAAGAGATAGGAGATGTTTCAAGGAAGAATTTTTGATAGCTGAAAGTGCCGAATCTTGGGGGGGGGGAAGCTCACAGAAAGATTGGTATCAGTGAGCTAAGTGTAAACATTATATGCTGCAAAAATCTTTTCAAGCCACGTGGCACTGTTCATGGGTCAACTTTGCCATTACGGCTAAAGATAAAAGTAAAGGTTTTCCGTTTAGTCGTGTACAACTCTAAAGACAGTATTCATCTGTTTCTTAGCCAAGAGACCCAGAATTGTCCGATGATACTTCTGTGATCATGTGGCCAGCATGATTATACGCCAACGTGTGCAGAACAATGTTACCTTCCCACTGAAATGATACCAGCGGTGAAATCCGCCCAGATCTATCCGGCTTGTGCGAGGCGGTAGGGCCGGCGGCAGGAGGCTCCGCTCACTCACCAGGACATCATTATGTCCCGCTTTTGACGCTCTGCACATGTGCAGAAGGCTCTGCGCTTGCGCAAAAGAGATGTGCGCACTCACATTTCTGATCCGATAGTGAAGGTAAGTGCATTTCACCACTGAATTGTACCTATTTATCTACTTGCATTTGCATGCTTTCGAACTGCTAGATGGACAGGAGCTCATCCCATCATTAGGCGCTTGGGTATTGAACCCAAGCTGTCAGCTTTCCAGCTGACAAGCTCAGCGTGTTTAACCACTGAACCATCATATCACCTGTCATTACTGCTACAAGGATCCAAATCATACTTACACTGGACTTCAAGTTAAAGGGATGCTTCCAGCACTTGTTAAGGTTCAGAATATTTCACCTCTCAGGTTGACATTCTGATACCATATTGCTACAGCAAAGTAATTTCCATTCATTTCTTCCAAGAAATTCTAAGGTTGTGTGTGAGCTACTGGAACCAGGGTGGATAAATATCAATGATTTTTTTTAAAAAATAAAAAAAAAATCAGATTTTTTTTATTTAAATCGGATTTTTTTAAAATTTAAATCAGATTTTTTTTATTTTTATCAAATTTATTTTAATAAAAAACTTTTGGGGTAAAAATGTATCATAAGATAGTTTTCTATTTAAGATACATAAATAATTTAGTTTATACAGCATGAAATGGAGCTTAGTTATGTAGCTTGAGGCTGTATATTCTGCAACACTGGGACTATCGGTGAGTCAACAGTGGGTCAAAGGAGTAGCAGAGATGACAGTTGCTCTTTAAAAATTATGATTTAAATCGAGTTGATTTAAATCAAGCCTTTTTACTAGTGATTTAAATCATGATTTAAATTGTGATTTAAATCAACTCGATTTAAATCAAATCCACCCTGACTGGAACAGTTAAATATTGACTTAACTATAAGGGTGCATAATCCGTATAGTCTACAAATGTCTTCTGAGGGCAGAAGGTTTAAAGCCTCCTTGCCAAGACCAAGGTTTAAAAAAGGATCTGCTACCAGATTCACATATTTGTACAGTTTCCAGAAAGTTTAAAAAGACTTTATGGACCATGACATCCTGATTAAATATTTGGGTACAATTGTTTTTGGTTGCTGTGCTATATTTAATTCTTTGTACTTTGATCTTAGATTAAAATATCCTGGATAAACCTGATTTCCAGGAACACAGAGAAAAAAATAAATAAAAACACTACTGACAAGTGGCCATGAATTCTCCAAATTTCTACATGCAGAATGGGCACATCAGCTTGCAGATGGGGGGGGGGGGGGACTATCATTTTTGTTATTTCCCAGATGAACAGAGTCTTTGCGCAATCAGTTGTTTGCCAGATGTCCTGCTTCCTTATTTGCATCGATTCTTAAGACAAAACATTTAAAACTAAGATCCCCTCCTAGCAAGCTGAAGTAGCACAGATCATTCATGCTACTGCACATATAAGCCATTTCTAAACATCAACTGTGCCCCCAAAACACACACAAACTATTTTCTTAGATTTTCAGGTGTCAGGAGGGAATGCTGTTTTTTCCCTGTAGGCTTGAACTGCCACTGCCACTTTGCACATCAGGTTAAAAGCAAGCGTGTTGATTTTAGCTTAATCTGAAGGCAAACTTTGTTTTGTTGATCTTATTTTCTCCTTATCAGTTGGATACCTTGGCAAACCTTTTTTGTAAAACCCTTTTTGCAAACAGATAATTATTATGCCTGGGCTTTTTCAGAACGACTTAAAAGAGAACATTTTCTGAATCTTATCAGAGGATTTTTAGTTGAACAAAAATGAAAGGGACTTGATCTAACTTTCAAAATACTTTTCAATTGTGGGCTTATATAAGTTCTTTCTTCCCACTCCCATTTTTCAATCTTAAAAAAAAAAAAAAAAAGACTTGCTAAGGTAGAGATAGTCCTTGACTTACAACAGTTCATTTAGTGATTGTTCAAAGTTACAACAGCATTGAAAAAAGTGACTTATGACTGTTTTTCACACTTGCACACTTTGCAGCATCCCCCGTGGTCACCTGATCAACATTTCGGATGCTTAGCAACTGACTCACATTAATGATTGTTGCAGTGTCCCGGGTTCATGTGATCCCCTTTTGCGACCTTCTGACAAGCCAAATCAATGGGGAAGCCAGATTCACTTAATCACGTTACTTACCTATCAACTGCAGTGATTCACTTAACAACGGTGGCAAGAAATGTCGTAACCCAGGGCAAAGCTCACTTAACAAATGTCTTGCTTAGCAACTGAAATTTTGGGCTCAATTGCAGCCGTAAGTTGAAGACCACTTGTATTATTGTAACCCAAGGATACACCAAATATTTTAGATCAGTGTTTCTCATTAAGCTTTAAGATGTATGGACTTCAACTCCCAGAATTCCCCAGTCAGCATGCTTTACCAGAATTCTAAGCTTCTTGGATGAGAAGCAAAACGTCTTCAAAAAAAAACCAGAAAGTCCAATGGCCTTTTGAAAAAGCACCTTTGGGACATTCTTCATTCTCCAGAGCAACTCAGAAAACCAAGGCATACCCTAGGGTTAAGGTTAGGGTTACTTAACACATAGGTCACTCATAGGCAATTTGCCCTGGTTATTGCACTATGATTTTAATTTTGTTTTCTGATCGGTTTATAGTATGCTATATCCTTTTTCTTGATTGTTCTTAGCTGCCCAGAGTGTACATATCAGATGGATGGCCTCATACGTTTTGTAAACAAACAAACAAACAAACAAACAAACAAACAAACAAACAAATAATTGTGAGCTGGGGTTGCCTCTCGTTGTCCAAGGCTGTTCAGGGAAGCGGTGGATAATTGGCAAGCAACAACAGCGGAAGTCTGGACTTTAGTTCTTAATATCAGAAGTACAATCAAAAATTTGCAGACAAACATCTGCCTACAAACCCTACGAAAATGCCATAACACCATGTTTATGACTTTCTCCCTCAAAACTTACACTGGCACATTTACTTGTATCTGCTAATCCTGTTCCCAAGATAATATTGGAACTAGAAGGTCATATGGTTTAACCATTAGTTACTGGATAACTAGAATCCAAGTTATCTAAAAGGTCATAAAAAGCATTCTAATTAAGATAAATGCTTTATTTATGGGAGACCTGAAATCAACTCTTTTTTTTAATCACAAGATGATGCTCCTAATGTGTTATCGTGGTGAGTGTTGTTCAGCTTCTGTTGCTTTCCTGGAGTGATGGATCCTGCTAATCAGCTTCTACTCTTTCATTTCTTAAGGAATTACAACCCAAAGGAGAACTGTAGTAGACAACTTGGAAAAGACACGTCTGTTTATTATTTGCAATTTGGCAAGCCTCCCTGGATGGGTAAGACAAAAAAAAAAAAGGTCAAAGGAAGGAATGACTGATGCTGCCTTTCAGCCAAGCTGCGCCCTTCCTTTGAATTCAACAGTAGCATGTTAATACAGACCAAACTTTATGTTGCATAAGAGGGTATGAGTTAGGTTACTAAGCAAGCCACAAATAGTTACCACAGAACTATTTCTAAAAACCTGGTTGAGTGCC